TGGAAAGGGCAGGAGGGGTCCTTAAATGGTGTTTCTTGACTTAGGTGGTGATTTGATGGGTGTTCTTCTCTGGATTTACTTTGTGTACTTTTCTGAATATTATTTTAATGAATACTTTTATTTATTTATTTATTTATTTATTGGTACCACAAATTGAACTCAGGACCTTGCATTTGCCAGGTAGGCACAGCACCACTGAGCTAAATCCCCAGCCCAGAATGCTTATTTTCAAATGGATACCTGGATCATACCCTCAGGGATTTTGATTTAACAGGCCTGGAGAGGCTTTCTTAAAATCACCTCCAAATGGTTGTAATATATTGTTAGGATATATTGCAATTTATGTATAAAAACACCATATCACTATAGAAAATTTGAAAAATAAGGAAATACATAATGTAAAGAAAAAATAACTTAAAATATACCCTTAGAGATATCTGCTCTTACTACCTATGACTTATTTTGTCATGTGACCAGGCTTTAATAAACCTAGGGTCCCTCCCTTTCATTATCTGGCTTCTACAAGGTTCCTGCTCTAGGCATATGAGGGATGAGAGGTTATCACTTTCCTGTAGCTTTCTGGAAACCCAGGAAGTAATACAGGAAAGTACTGACCATTCCTGAAAAGCTAGTTGCACTTCCTGAAGAAAATGTCAGAAGCAGAAACTGCAGCTTAAATTTTTGGGTTTTGATCATTAAGTATTTTCATACAGGCTGTTCATTTTCATTTCTGAATTTCTTAGACTGGGACAAGTCTTAGGCAGTTTAACCATTTCATATCAAAGGTTATCTCGTACACTGTCAGCAAAAACCTCACATAGATTGGTTGCCTGATATAGATACCTTCTAGAAGAGCTATCTTATTAATTTCTTATTGATAGTAGAATAACAGCCTTTATTTTCATAACTGGAGGACTGGTTGAATAATCATGTTACATACTCTGAATAGAACGCTAAATAGCTTTTCAGTGACAAAGCTAGAATTACTTTGGCTTTTCAGAGATAGGGATACCCAGGGCCTCACACACATGCCAGGTGAGGGTTCTGCCTCTGAACTATCAGTGTTGTCATGGAAACATATTCAAGACCTATGAAATGGGCTATATTAAACATTTATGTCTTTCTTCTTCCTTATGTGTGAAAATATGTGTGTTGTATCTGCCCAAATCCCAAAAGACAGAGTTGGCCCACATACCCATGGGTTCTGTATTGGCACATTCAACCAAATTTATAATTAGAAAAAACTGTGCCTGTACTGAATATGTAGACTTTTTTTCTCTCGTCTTTACTCCTAAGCAATACAGTATAACAACTATTTGCTTCACATTTCTCTTGTATTAGTCATGAAAGCGATCCACAGTGTGTTTTAAAGTGTGTGGGAGCTGGGCATGGTGGCGCAAGGCTGTAATCCCAGCACTCGGTAGGCCCAGGCAGGAGAATTGCCACATAGTTCAAGGCCAGCCTGGGGTGTATAGTGAGTTCAAGGACAGCCTGAACTACGTAGCAAGACCCTGTCTCCAAAAAACAAATATATATATATATATATATATAATGCCTGTGTATGCGTATGGGAAGATATGTATAGGTTATATACAAATACTGTCCCATTTGATATTAGGGACTTGAGTGTGGCAGATTTTGGTATTTTTCAGGGTCCTGGATTCTTCTGTGGAGACTGAGGGCTGACTGTGTACCAAGCTGTCCACAGTGATGATTTCCCTACTTAGTAATTGGTGGAATGAACTTTCTCTACATGTTGTAACTTTTTGTTATGAAAATTATGGACTATTTAGAACAATTCTCTCTATTTTAGAGGAAAAACAAGTGACAAGTGCTGAGTGTCTGCACATCCCCACTTTGCTTATTATCTGTCTCCCTGTCTCGCCCCCCACCCCAGCCCGTGCTAGGGATTGCATGACATTAGTTTCTTATAACACACCATGATCTCTAGAGAAATTTGAAAAAGAAGGAAATGGGTAGAGAAAAGAAAAACCACAACAGATAGCTGCAGAGATGCCTGCTTTTAATTCCAGCCATTTTAATAAGTCATCCAGCTACTAGTTGTTTAATAATTTATTTTAATTTCCATGGTTCTGTATTTCTTTGTTGCCCTAAAGTTTTCAGAGCACTGATTCATCCTCATCCATGGGTGATAGGTTAGCGAACGGCTAAGGAAAGTTTGTCACTGCAGCTTCTCTAGCGATGGCATCAGTCTCTTCCAGGGCTTTAAAAAGTTCTGCTCAGGTGCAAGGTCCATGTCTTGGGAGACAGACATAAGGATTATCAAAGCATTTTCTAAAGTCATATTGAAGGACAAATCTAAGTGACAATGACAGATGTCTTAGATAAGATACCATTTTTGAGTTTGTTTGTAACAGTTTTGGTCACAGTGTCTAACAGCCAGCGTTTATTTTATAAATACTTCACAAGTATTTGCCTAATGGGGAAAAAATGAGGGGAAAGAAAGTGAAACTAGAAAAAAGCAGGAAACTAAATGAGCCAAAGGCTTTGGATTGTAAAAGGATCAAGGTCTTATTAATTCCTAGAAAATAGACTAAGGCTGCTAGGTCTGATAGACTAGAAGGAGTATTTTTGAGACTTGGAAGGCAGAAAATAGATGAGACCAAAATTAAAGTGCAGTACTAGAAACATTTTTAGTACCATTAACTGAGACTCATTTAGTGTTTTGTGTATAGTTTGGTTTTCTAATAAAATAATCATGATGATAGCAAGGCCTGGAAAATGCAAAACAAATTTTTTTGTTTGTCTTTAAAACACCCACAAAGCTCCCCCATATTTTTCCAGCCTTCCCTACCTGTATCTCTTAGCTACTTCCCAATGTTTTATCTCTATTCTGGTTGGAATTTATCCACATAATATGTGAAATGTCTTCTGGTTATATAAATGGGAGGCATCTGCAGCTGTCATTGCTACACTATTTCAGATTTTTCTATTGACTTTTGGAAATTAAATTGTAATCACAGATAATCTTTTTTTCTACCATCAATTTAAAAAAGACTAATTTATTAAGGTAATGTAGCATTGTAGAGTTTGGGGGAATATATAGAGACTAATCATTTTTCTAGTCTCAGCACAATTTATATGTAGTTTTTTTCACAGATCGACCTTTTTTTTTGGTACTGGGGATCTAACTCAGGTCCTTGCACTTGCAAGGCAGGCAGCGGAACCACTGAGCTAAATCCCCGGCCCTTTTGTTTTGTTTTTAATTGTTCAGATGGAATATTTGAATTTAGAAAAAAAAACTATTGAAAAGTTGCCTTTCACTCTCCCCTCCCTTGTGGAAGGGAAACGAAAAAAACAAAACAAAACAAGAAAAAAAAGATAAAATGGAAACAAGCCTCTCATAAATAAGAGGGGGAAGAGGAGTAGAAGGGAGGGAGAGAGGAATGGGAAAAAATATGAATCAAGATACATCATGTACTGGTACAAATTCCATATGATGAATGTGATCATTATGTCTATCTGAATTACACCAATAAACTTAATGGTAAAAAAAGAAATAATCTAACAGGAATTCTTTGTTTTGTTTCGTTTTTAGAGTAGGAAGAATTTACTGGGAGAAAAAATAGCTTCTGTCTGAGAGAGGCCGAAGGGGGACCAGGAAGTGGGTTGCCCCTAACAGGAATTTTTAAGGAAAAAATAAAGCATAGAAGAAAAAGAAAAGTGGCCTCTTGGAAAATGGTAGATAAGAATGTGTATTTAGTGTCTGGAGTGTTGTTTTCATTTTTTTTTTTAACTACCCATTGGGTCTAATTTTCTTCTAAAATAAGACATGATTTCCATGATGGGACTCCAGTGAATTACGATCTTTTTCTCATCAACCCCTTTTCATCTGTATTAAATGTAAGTGGGTTTTCTCTCTGTTTTTTCTATTTTCCATGTAATGCTCTTCTGCTATTTATGCAGAGATATCCTGACTAGAGAGTTAGTTGGGAGTGAGGTAGGAATCCAGGACCATCACAGGTAAAACCAGCCTACTTTAGTGGAGTATTTGAGAATTAGACTGGAAAAAGAAAGAAGCGTTTTGCATCTAGGAGAATGACAACACAGAGACCATGGACAAAGTGAGTGAAAGTAACACAAGGGATGGAACCCAGGGCCTTTGTGCCGAGCTACATCCCCATCCTTTTTAAAAATTTTGTGACAGGATCTTGCTACATTGCCAGGTTGGGCTGGAGCTTGTGATCCTCCTGCCTCAGCTTCCCTGAGTGTTGGGATTATCGGTATATGCCACTATGCCTGATTTAAAAAAGCTCTCTTTTCCAAAGTGCCTGTGGCTCACAGTTTTATGTGAAGTGTGCAGTGTGGGCACTCATCACACATTTTTGCCAAGGTGGATCATGCCCGCTTTTGCAAGTTAGGTAATGCAATCCTCATTTGACAGATAAGAAAAATTGAGGCTTCAGGCAATTTGGTAAATTGCCTAAAACTAGAAAAGCTGGCTCTAAATTGAAGTCACCTGTGTCTCTTTTGACTCTGATGACTTCAGCATTCACTAGAGGATACCATTCTTTGTTTCCAGCACATTCACTGTAGCATCCCCAAGAGGATTAATTTATCCTAAAATCCAGGCACTCTGTTCTGAAGAGAATTGTTATTCTCATACCAGATGGGAAATTTTTCTGGGCTCGCAGAACCGTCCTCAGCACTTAGTATTGTTCACATTTTTTGAAACACATATTTTTTTTCCATTTTAGCCCTCAGCTCTTCCATTTTCTAGCTGAATGACCCTGTACCCCACCCCCACCATCCTAATGCTTGAACCCAGGGCCTCTGACTCACTCTACCGCGGAACGACATCCCCAGCCCCTGCTCTGCCTTGTAAGCCTTCTTGTCCTCATCAGTGATGTAGAGACAATAATGACATTCACCTCAAGGAGTTCTTCTGAGGTTGAAATTAGCATTTTGTTTATAAATAAGAATTTTAGAAGCTGATGTTAGAGATATAGTCTTATAATGAAAACTTTCTCCCATCATAGGTTTTCTTGAATTTTCTGTTGGGAAATTCAGATACTTCCAGCTCAACGGGTCCTTTCCAGAGGAAGCCATTCTGCGTCATATTTCAAGCAATGTGACTTTTCTCATATTCCAGATACACACACAGTATCAGAATACCACAGTTTCTTATTCAAGGGTAAGTACAAAGAATTATCTCGGCAAAAAATCATTTGATATATTTGGGTCTTGTATTTACTGTAAACATTAGAATTCGATGCCTCTTTATAACTTTGTGTCTTAAATTTTTATAAAGTCAAGATTGACTCTTGTCATGTTAGTGACCGAGACCAGGGAAGGTGTGGACCCCAGGCCTTTCTTGAGTGTGGCAGCCTATGGCTTAGAGATGGAAAGCCAAACCCTGGGAGAGGGACCCTGTGCAATTCCCTGCACTTAAGTTTTCCTCATGGTTTCTCACTTTTTCATTTTCTTACTCCAGTGGGTCCTTAATGACTTTTCCCTGAGAATACATTGTAATGTGTTCCTATTGTTGTCTAACTATTTAGTGTTGCAATTTGTTAAGAACTTCTTGGGATCAGCCTTATTCTTTGCAGTCTCACATGCAAACAAAGCAATTCTAATACTCAGTTCATCCCAGCCCATCCAGTGTGGTCAAGGACACTATTATAGTTGTCATCACTAACTCTTTAAGGGCAACCTCAGATTTGGAAAGTTTTTCAAATGCTTTGGATTAGCAAGCTGTTAAGAATCTGCCATTTATGATAAACTTTTACAAATCTGTTTATATTTAGCCAATATAATCCTTTAGACTAATGAATGAATTTCACTCTTGATCGAGTTATACTTTTCTGTTTGATCTAAGCTTATCTTATAATATTCTGGAATTTTGTAAACAAAGCTATCTTGACACAACTCATATGTAGTTCTATGGGAACTGGTCATACTATCTTTCCTACTAAGTATTTTTTATTTTTTATTCCTGCTTTCCTACCCTTACCATAAAGGTTTTAAAATTGTGCATGTAACTACAATAAATTTTAAAAAGATTTTTAAGCAGGAAAAAAATGTGTGTGTGTGTAAGGTAGTTAATAAACTAGAATAAACTAGAAATGGAAGGGTTGGACTAAGAAAAAAAAAGGAATAAATTGTACCAGTTGCAAGAGATAACAGTGTCTGTAGCCTATACCTTGATTTTGCCAGAGTTCTTTGTAGCCACACCAGAGTAAAGCATATTAAATTTCATAACTTTCTTGGAAAGGAAGAAGTATGCCAATTCATCAAGAGAGGCTAAATTTTTCTCTGGTATGAAATTCAAAAGTCGACCTCCTATTTAGGATATTTCATAAGAGACATGGTAAAATGACACAGAGATGGTATCTTTTTAAATTTATTTTATTTTGGTATTAGGGATCCAACCCAGGGGTGTTCTACCACTAAGTTACTTCCCCACTTCTTTTTATGTTTTATTTTGAGATAGGATCTCACTAAGTTTTTCTGGCTGGCCTTGAGCTTGCTTGTGAGCCTCCTGCCTCAGCTTCCCAAGTAGCTGGAATTACAGGCATCTGTCACTGAGCTCATCTACCCCCTTTTTTTGCTAGCTGTCTTTAAAAAAATTTTTTTTGAGATGGTCTTCCTACATAGTTAAACTTTTTTTGATTGGCAAATAATATGATTTCCCTCTTATGCCATCACAGCAAAGACAAATTTATTTTTAGTTGTAAGTTAAAATTTATTTTAACTGATTCATAAAAACAGAATTATACATATTTATGGAGGACCTGTGTGGTGTTGCGATAGATGTATAAATTGTGTAATGTTGGAACCTGGTTGAATATATCTGTCTCCTCAAAGATTTATCTTTTCTTCGTGGTGAAACATTCAAACTCCTAGCTTTTGGAAAACAGTACATGACGTTATCCATGGTCACCCTACTGTGCAGCCGCACCAGAACTTCCTGCTCCCACCTGACTATAAGCCGGTACCTGTTGATCAACCTCTCCCCATCCTTCCCTTCCTTTGACTCTCCCTGACTCTGGTAGCCACCCAGTAGCTCTCAGCTTTTGTATCAGCTTTTTCTGTAGATTCCCCATAGGAGTGGAATCATGTGGTACTTACTTCCTGTGCCTGACTTATTTCACTTAACATAATGATCTCCATTTTCATCCATGTTGTCACAAATAAAAGGATTTCACTTACAGCAATAAAGACAAGAGAGAGGATGTGGACAAAGGCATTTACATAATTGAATGCTTGCTGTGTGCTAAGCTAGTGGCCCTAAAGCTCTTGAGGCTAGAGACTGCCTAAATCTAGGGACTCTCCCAGGAAAAAGATGTCATTTCCTGGGGGCCTGTATACGTATAATCTCATGTGGACCTCCAGAAACTCAGTGGGACCCTCTGGCCCCTGTCTGGAATCTTTGTGTTTTGCTTTCCATATAGTTAATTCTCACAGAAGCACAATAAAGTAGCTGCAGTGCCTATTTCTACTTCAGAAAATCCAGCTTGGCCAAAGAGATGTCAGCATAACTAATAAGTGACAGAAGAGGCCTGGATGAATAGCATCTTGGGCCTTGATCTCCATGCAGCAAGGATCTTAGTTTGTCTAAATTATCTTAGATTTCATTTGCCTAAATTATGTAGATTTCTTAGATTTCATTTCATTTTCTTAGTTTGCCTAAATTATCTCAGTTTTCATTTCCATTTTTAGTTTCCACTATTTCCACTGCTTAGAAGATGATGACCAGACCGCACATGCCTCAGAAAGTAAGCTGTCTTTGTGAAGACAGTTGTTTCTGTTTCCTGTGTCCTCCCTGATGTAGAGTGGCCCTGTTGTGTTTTTTTGTTGTTGTTGTTGTTGTTGAGTCATCATGGTAGTTGGTTCTTTGAGGCCATTGACCCTATAGTTAATCAATTTTTGCTTAATGCTTTTCAAATTGAAACTGGTAGTCCCTTCCTCTTCCCATTTTCTTAGCTTTACAAGGACACTGAATCTGTTCCCTTAGCTTGCATTTTATTATTCAAAAAGCTTTCTAAAGAGTTGGGTGTTGGGGATTCTAGAAGGGAGGGGGATGAGGAAGGATTAGGAAAGGCCACAAGGAAACTTTTTGGGATAATGCATATATTTACTATCTTGAATTGGCGATGGTTTCATAGGTGTCTATATGTATCAAAATTTATCTAATAATATATGTTATAGTATAACTCAATAAAGGTTTCTGCCAACTGTGAACCCCTGGGACCTGGGTCCATGTCTTTGTTTTGGTAGCCTCAGTGTGTGACATTATGTGACATAGTAAATCTTAATGCAGGTGAGTTGAAATGCTTGAGAAATTCACCTGTACAATTCCTGACCAAACATCATTGCTGTGCACTGAAGGTGCCCCTGCGTGTCCTGGTACTAGGAAGTGGGCCTGTGGGAGGTGTTAGGTCATGAAAGCTCCAGCTTTATAAAATTAGTGGTCTTAATAAAAGAGACCCCAGAGAGCTCCCTCTCTGTTCTGCCACATATGAAGACATAGCTAGAAGTTGGCAGTGTGGAGCCCAGAAGATGACCCTCACCTGAACTTGACCATGCTGGCCCTCTGATCTCAGACTTCCGGGCTCCAGAACTGCAAGAAATAAATTTTTATTGCTTATAAACCACCTAATTTATGGTACTTTGTTATAGCAACCCAAACTGACTAAGACAATTACACATTTTAAAGAGTTCTCCTGTGTGGAGGTGTAGGCATGTGAACATAGGAATAGAAAGAGTTCTTTAATTATTGAAGGAAGTTCTATTCCCCTCTCCCCTTTTATTTTGAGACTGGGCCGTACATACTTGATTACCTCTATCATGGATATGTTTTGCTCCATTCCCTATTGATGATGACTTTTCTTCTTAATTTCAGACTCTCCTTCCCAGTACTTCAGGAACAGGCAATGACAAAGGACTGGTTTCCATTCTGAGACCAGAGCAGAGTATGTGCACTTGGTACCTGGAGTCTGCAGGTGGAAACCCTGTCCAAAGTGTGGCCATTCCACTCTCCTACTCAGAAAGAGGTAACCTTTCTGTCTTTGATTCCCTGTTACACTGTGAACCATGGGATATGTTTGTGAAAATTGAAGGGAAGTCATCCTATGAAGATTGTTTACAAGTGCACTTTATTTAATCAGAAATATTTTTATAGCAAGGGAGCCCGCATTGGAAGCTCAGTGACTAAAAAACATTTATTCACTCAGAAATATTTAAAGGGCCCTTGGAAAAATAGTAACACAGATCCTTAACATTTTAGCAGTTAGCCTAGGCAGCGGAAGCATTAAGCAGAATGTGATGAGGAAGAACGGAGTGTTTGGAAATGGTGAATAGTGGGTGTGGCTGGAGCCAGAGTGTGAAGGGCCCTGTGCACAGTTTGTGGTTTGCACTCTAGCCTGAGGCCTGTTCTAAGGAATCCTGGGGTTTTTAGGCAGAGGAGTGAGTGATGTGGTTCATTTCCTCTCTTCGAAAGCCAACTCTAGAAGCAGTGAGGGGGTGAGATTGGAGAAGGCACAGCACAGCCAGGACTGAGCACAGCTTTGAGGGCTCAAAGTGAGAAATGAGGATCTGAACAGAGGCACAAGCTAGAGTGTGGAGGAGAGGGCCGGGTTTGTTTGGAAGATAGACTGACCAGGGACTGTGGTTATAACAAAGGAGTGAAGGCTTCCTAAGTGGAAGCCTGGAGGTAGTGATGCAAAATAGGCATAGGAACAGAGTTGTGCTGGATGTTTTATGGGGGGGATGGAGAAGATGGTGAGTCCAGGCTGGGACATGATGAATCTAAGAGGCTTGTAGGACATCTGGATGGAAATACATAGTGGCCTATATAAGCCTGGAGCGGAGGAATGGTGTTAGATATTCAACTAAATAGCTTTTAGCGAAAACCATAGCTGTGACTGAGATTGTTCAGGCAGGTGCTTAGAGATTCAGGGGGGGAAATAATAGCAGATAACTTTCCTAGTGCCTGCTGTGTGTCAGGGAAGTTTCTGGTGGATACTTATTGCTGAGGAATAGTTGCAAGACTGAGGAGTAGTCCTAGAGACAGGAGAGCCCCAAGGTCCTGTCTTTATAAGATGCCGGGAATGGTAGACTGCAGAGGGAGGTGACCAGAAGTGTCCATATGGTAGAGCAGGGAGGAGGAGTCAGTGGCTGCCTTTAATGGGCGTCATTTTAGTGACATAGTAGTGATAAAAACAATTACAATGATAGAGGGGTGAAGATGAGGTGTGGAAATTTCTACTACGGTTAAAGTTTGGAGGTAAAAGGAAGAAAAAGGAGCAATAGGTAGTAAAGAAGGTAGAAACTGAACAATTAGTGGGAAAAACATGTTATCTGTAACTGAAGATTCATTACCAAATATAAAGCCATAGACTTTAGGCTTCCATTAAGGACAGTGCATGAAGAAAAGTTATAGACTGTGGAGCTTCAGAGAGGTAGGCATTTGTAAGTGCAGAAAAAGGAGAATATAAAAGACCTCAACATTTGAGAAAGAGAGCACATGATATTGAACGTGTATACCCATGGCTTGTTCCATCTCAACTAGAGAAACCCACCACCAGAATTCCAAGATGGTGGAAACTGAAACCCAAGTGTGGGAATGACAGGATGGATGGGTGTATGAAGTTAAGGTCCTCTAAATCTTTAATCAGTTTACTTGCTCTGTCTTTTGTCAACTTCTCCTCTTGAGTACACTATATATGGTGCTCCATGTGGAGCTGAATGTCAAGTGACTTCTTTAAGTTTTGCCATACTTACAGGTCATGAATAGGATTCCTAATAAGAAAACAAGAGCTCTTTTAGCCATATTATTAATGTAAGCTAAAAGACCAAAAATTATCTTGCGTTTAATTAAATATTCAAATACTATTCCCAAAAGTGGCCTTGGGTCTTCTATTTTCACTCCTTTATGCATACCTGTGCTGTTACAGTGGTGAAGATGAAACTATCTGTCTCTCTGTTGAAGGAGGCATGTGAAAAGTGGACACTTTTTCCTCTCTTACCCATGGAGTTCCTTTTCTCTTTGGCAGTGTTGGGTTTTTTTCCCTCCTGTATTCATAGAACTTTAAGCTTTTCAGGGGTCACGGACCCCAACATACAGTAAAAGCTTCTCCCCCAAGAAAATGCACAGATTCAACATTTGGCATACAGTTTCAGGGTGTTCGTGTAGCCCCTGAAGCCCACTTTTGGCTATCAGTTTAAGAATCTCTGTCTCTTTTAATGTTTTTAACAGGGAGGGTAGAGATCGGCAAACTGTAGATCACCAGCCAAGTCTACCTTGCTGCCTGTCTTTGTGCATAAAATTTTATTGAAACACAGCTATGTCCATTCATTTATATATTGTCTGAGGTGGCGTTTCAGCACAGGGCAGGGTTGGGTGGTTGTCAGAGTCCTGCTGACCTGAAATACTCACTGTCTGGCCTTTATGGAAAAGACTTCATGTCCCTTGCTCTAGAGCCTTAACTTTACTTTCAGTTAACTTTAGTCTCTTTAACCTCAGTTCATGAGATAGTATCAAAGCAGCTCTGGGTTTAATATTTAACTTCTTTTTGGGAAGTTCTTGTTAAAGTTCTCTTTTTTCTGAGCTTGATTTGGATATATAAGAATTCTTTATGTAGTAATTTCCCTGTTTTTCATCCAGATCCTATCCCTGGAGGCTGTAATTTGGAGTTTGACTTAGATATTGATCCCAACATTTACTTGGAATATAATTTCTTTGCAACGACTATCAAATTTGCCCCAGCAAACCTAGGCTATGCGAGGTATGACTGTCTCCCATCTCCTAAAATTGCTTTTAGAATATTCATGACTGTTGTGTAGATTCAGCAAATCCATAGTTCTCTGTAGTAGCATTGAATTGTTTTTAAAAATCGGGGGAGGAGGGCCGGGGATTTAGCTCAGTGGTACCTCGCAAGTGCAAGGTCCCGAGTTTGATCCCCAGTACCGGAACAAAACCCAAAACAACCCAATTGCAGATGTCTTGGGGCTGGGGATTTAGCTCAGTAGTTCTGGTGCCTGCCTTGCAAGCGCAAGGTCCCAAGTTCAATCCTTGGTACCAAAAAATAAATTAAAAAAAAAAATCGGGGGAGGATTAGTATAATTTAAACCTCTTTACTAATATTTAACTGTCTCTTACAGCTAATAGCCCCCTTCACCCCGCATTTTTATGAACTCTTTATTTGAAGAGCCAGATTTGAGTTTGTTATGAGCTTGGAAGTGCATCTTAGCTTTTGTTTTGTTTTGTTTTTATTTTTTTGAGACAGGGTCTTGCTTTGTAATGCAGGCTGGCATTGAACTCACTATGCAGTCCAGGCTGGCCTCGAACTCGCAGTGATCCTCTTATTTCTGCCTTCTGAGTGCTGGGATTACAGGCATGCCCCATCATGCCCTGCCATTTTAGCTTTTATAAACCACTTTAAATGTAGCGAGCATCTGTTAGCACTGAAACATCCTTATGTTTTATAAGGATTATTTTTTAAATTAAAACTCTGCTTCAGTTTCTCCTTTAATAGCTAGCAGTGATAACATTGAATAATATTTGAATGCCCCCTGGCATCATTCACAGTACTAAGTGCTATATGTTCTGTGTCATTTAATCCTAACCATTTTATGAAGAAATGCAATTGCTCTTATGTTACAGAGAGATTTTCTAAGGATTATCAAAACGACTTGCTCATATGCACATGGCTACCAAGTGGCAGTAGAATCTGGTTATTTAACCACAGTTGCCTCTCTGTGTGTCTCTGTATAGGAATATATATTGGAGGCCAATCAGTCCTCCAATCTGCCTAGAAAGGAGGGTGGCGAGGGCTAAAGAAAGAAAGACGTTAGACACAAATGTAATTTTATAATGCATGGGGGGCTGGGAGGTCAGTGCCTCAGAGTGGGCCAAGACAAAGACTCTCTGAGCTCGCCACTATTTAGTGGGTGCACACATACTAATCGGAGGAAGTATCGGGTGACTCAGAGGGCAGTGGTGATCCCATGTTGATGAGGCTCTTAGGTCGATGATGATCTTATGTTGATGAGGACGGTGAGATGGGCGAAGCATTCTTAGGTGGGATGAGACAGCAGGCTAATAAAGAATCTGTTCTTCCCCCAGGTGAAACCTTTCTCTTTTTTATTACTACTCGGTTCTCAAAGAACCAAGATGTCTTCAGCTGACATAATCTTGCCCTTGAGTGTCACAGTGTCATGGAACCATTGAGGCCTCAACTTGTGACCCAGGGCAAAATGGAGTTATGTTTCTGCATGCCATAGCTGACTCTAGGGCAAAAATGCATTGGGCCTTAAACAGTTCCCATCATAATTTAATTATGAAATGGTTTTTCCCCAAAATTATATGGAATGGCTCTCGACAAATATAGGTTAAGTATCCTTTATCTGGAATGGTTAATGTTTCAGATTTCAGTTTTTTGGATTTTGTAATATTTGCATAGACTTTACCAGTTAAGCATCCCTAATCTGAAAATCCAGACTCTAAAGCTTTTCACGTGTCATAAGTGCATTTCAGGTTTCAGATTTTTGAGTAAGAATGGTTAGCTTGTACTGCGGGGGGGCGGGGTGGTGGTGGTGGTGGTACAAACAACAGAAGTTTATTTCTTATAGTTCTGGAGCCCGAAGTCCAAAATGAGGATGCCAGCACAGTTGGGTTCTGGTGAGGCCCCTCTTCCGGGTTGCACATTTCTCCTTGTATCCTTATAAGACAGAAGGACTAGAGAGCACTTGGGGTCCCTGATGTAAGGGCACCAATTCCTTTCATGAGAGCCCCTCACTTATTACCTTGTTATCTTTCAAAGGCCTTACCTCCTAATGCCATCTCAGTGGGCATTGACTCAAAGTAGGAATTTTAGAGGAGCACATCATTTAGTCCATAACAGTGTGATACTTTCCGCCAGAATACCATTTATGCCCCTGCAAAAGGTGAACTGTTACATCGAAATTGTTGCTGCAGAAGTTTGAAATTAGTGCTGGGGCTGTAGCACAGTGGTAGCGTACTTGCCTAGTACACTCAGGCCCTCAGTTCTGTCCCCAGCAATGAAAAAAAAAAGAAAGAAATTTTAAATTAGAGCTTTTGGTTTCTTTTGATAGATGGGACTTGTACCACACAAGACTGATGTTCTGTTTTCTTGGTTGATTTTAGAGATGCACCTCCTCCGCCGTGTGATGTTGGGACGGGCCAGGAGAGTAGGTGGAGATTGCAGTATGATGTGTATCAGTATTTTCTGCCCGAGAATGACCTCGCAGAAGATGTGCTGCTGCAGCATCTGCAGAGAATGGCCCAGGTGTCCCAGGTGAAGGCCAATGCCATGAAGGTGAGTCCTGTTCTCATGGTGTGAGTGGCTCAGCTGTGATGCTTTCCTAGGAGTTGAGAAGGGGAGAAGCCACCAGGACCTTATTTCTTTACTGTTTTCTTGATATTTGGGGGATAATCATTTTATTCTTTTTTTTACTGTGCTTTCATTTTGAGAGTCATTGCTAGTGGTATCCCAAAATGATGCTGGCCCTTGGGGAGATGCATGTAAGTTATGTTTTCATTGTAGCTACATCTATGACCTGGTAATCTTGAAAATGGATGGAAGTGGTGGTAATTTTCTATGAACTCTAATAATTATTGAATAAAAGCTTTTGGAAAATATGAAAGTTACAGTTTAAAAAAATAACAAGAAACTGCTTATGGATATACACATTAGCATTAGTATGGGAACCTAAGTCTCCAACTCAGAACAAAAATTTTCTCCGAGCTTTTGAGTTGCTATAAACCTTTGCTACTCCAATTGTCATCCACAAACATTGGTACTTTTTTTTGTTTTTTTTCGTACCGGGGATTGAACTCGGGTCCTTGCACTTACGCAACAGGTGGCAAAACCACTGAGCTAAATCCCCGGCCCAACACTGGCACTTTTTTAGAACTGCAGATTTTTAGGCTCCAACCTAGAACTGGTGGATCAGAATTTGTATCTTATTTGCATTTTTTAATTCTCCAGATGATTCTTGTGCATATTAGAATAGATGCCGTTTGTTGAATATTTACTTTGTGCTAGTCATTGTGCTAAGTACTGAAGAGAGTGGTGAGCAAGTTAAAAATGATTCCTATTCTTGTTTAAAATCTAAGAAATGAAAACAATTTTTTTACTTCTTCCTAGCTGGCATTTACACACTATTTATGTCACATTTTACTTAAACTACTAACATACAACATTCTATACAAGATTTCTAGGAGCATTTGTCTCTATTGGTGGGTATAAACTGTGTGGGATGGTCTTTGGACAAAGTAAAATCAGTTGGTGTGTTAGTTACTTTTCTCTCATTGCTCAGACAAAATACCCAACACCCAAAATTAAAGGGGAAAGAATTTATTTGGCTTACAGTTCGTAGAGGTTTTAGTCCATAGTAGGCTGGCTCTAAGGCAGGGATGACGGCAAACAGGCATGGCAGAGGAGAAACAACATGGTGCACACAAGGCAGCAAAGGCAACAAGAGACCTTCAGTGCGTCTTTCTGCTTCTTTTATCCCATCCAGACTACTGAGATTAAGGTGGTGCCAAACTAATCACTCATGTGTAGTGGTTTAGTGATCACACACCTTTAATCCCAGCATCACACTTTCTTTATTTTTTTTTTTTTGTACCAGAGATCAAACTCGAGATCAAACTCATGTCCTTGCTCTTGCACAGCAGGTGGAGAAACCACTGAGCTAAATCCCCAGCCCCTAATCCCAGCATCACACTTTCCAGATTCAGCTACCTCTGACCGCATGAGGCTTTGGGGGAACATCTAGAGCCGAACCAAAACAGGTGGTATATACTTTAAACAAAAAATATAATTTATATTATATGTAGGTAGGATTATAATAGAATAGCTTAAAAAAATCTAAACACTAATCTTGAATTATTTTTGGCTTTAGGTGGTTACCTTAACAGCTAATGATAAGACAAGTGTTTCCTTCTCCGCCCTACCTGGACAAGGTGTCATTTATAATGTCATTGTTTGGGACCCGCTACTAAATGCATCTGCTGCTTATGTTCCTGTTCACACATATGCTTGCAGATTTGAGGCACTGGAGGATAGTTGTGCTTCCCTTGGTGAGTATATGCATTTAAACTTTGGCAAAGTCTTCTTTGGCTTGGCAGCTCTATTTCTAGTAGGACAGAACAAAGAATGATAAAAGACGCCTTTTCCTGGTTTTCGTGCATTCATTCTGTGTATGCCTTTTGAGCCCTTAACATGATTCTAGTGTTCTAAGCAGTGACTATAGCAGTGAACAAAAACCAAAATACTTATATTTTTATATATTAGTTAAAGAGATGTGATAGGCAAGATAAACTTATAAAGTATGAGCACTAAGAAGAAAAATAAGGGAGAAAACATGTGGCCATGAGAGGAAACTGAGGTAGCATCGTTGGGGAAGGCTTTGGGGCAGGATCTGCGGGCATACTGGGGGTGGTGCCTGCCACGCAGAGGAAGCAGCTGGTACGAAGCCCTGCTCTGAGGCCGCTGTGGATCTGCAGGAAGGCAGCAAGAACAGTAGGTGGAGGAAGATAAGAAGTCAAAGGTAGAGGTAGGGCAGGCAGCTCAGCATGTAGCCTTGTAGATCATAACATGGGCCTTAGCTTTTATTCCAAAGGAAATGGAAACGCACCGGAAGGTTTTGAGCAAACAGTCCTATGGTCTGACACACTCTGGCTGTTCTGGGAGAAAAGACAGAGGCACGAGCAGAAATAGCAAGGTTGATTAGGAGGCCACTGACTTACTCCAGGTGAGAGATGACAGTGATTTATGAAGAACGAGGCATGGAAGGGGTCGAGAGATCTACGTGTGTGCTCATATGTGCAGTGTATCTTGGAACAGCTCATCAGAAGAGAGGCAAAAATAAATAATGTTTTCATAACCTTCAGCCTGATCTCATTAGTTAACATGCTGTTTGCTTTTCATTCTCTTTCTATGTACAGACACATGAATACATAGATAATACTTTTTAAGATCTGAACCATTTGAGAGTAAGTTGTACAGATAAAGACCTAGTAGTTTTTTTTTTTATTTGTTTTGTTTTTTATACCAGGGATCGAACTTAGGACCTTGTGCTTGCAAGGCAGGTGCTGGAACCACTGAGCTAAATCTCCGGCAAGACCTAGTAGTTTTAAATATGTCTGTTTATTTCCTTTCATAATCATAGTAAAATGATCGAAATCACAAAATTAACACTGACACGTAATACTACTTAATCTATAGGTATCAAATTTTACTAGTTCTTCCATTATCAATGTCTTTTAGAAGCTGCAAAAAGTTTTTTCCTTGTCCCAGGTCCAGTTCAGGATCCCATGTTGCTTTTACCTAATCCAGCTCCCTAGTCCCCTGTAATCTGGGACAATTCCTCAGTCTGCATTTGTCTTTCAAGACATTGATCTTTTTTGAGGAGTACAAGTTATTTTTAAAGTTACTTTGATGTTTCCTAAGGTTTAAATTCATGTGTTTTTGGTAGGAAGGCAAAAGAAGTGATGTTGGATACTTCTCTTACTGGATATGTTTGATATGTTTGTCCACTTCTTGTGGTGATAACCATGATTACTTGGTTAGTGGTGTCTGCCAGTTCATTTTTTCTTTTTTAAGTATCTTTTGAGTGGTAATTTGAGTGCTTGTGAATCTCATCCTCAAACTCCCAGTTGCTAGTTTCAGAACCCAGTGATCTTTGCCTGAAACATTCATTACTAGGTGGTTACCAAATGACATTTTTCCACTTTTGTCCCAGAGTTCCCACATGTGACCAATGCCTGGCTGGATGTATTTTGAAATAGGGTATGGTGATGGATTAGGTGAGGGTTTGGGGAAAAGCAGTGGAAAAGATGACTCTTTGGTTTTCTGGCCTGAGCAAGTAGAAAGAAAGCTGCCACTCCCTGAAATGGGAAAGACTTGGGAGTGGGTTTAGGAAGAGCATATCAGAGTTCAGTTTTGGGTGTGCTCGGTTGGAGAACCCTGTTAAGCATTCAAACAGAGATGTTCATTTGATAAGCAGTTATATGTATCAGCTGGAATTCAAGGGAAGGTCTGGGCTAGAGATTATCTTGGCAGTTGTCAGACTAAATATATGGCATCTACAGCCATAGGCTGGATGGGTGCATTTGTGGAATGAGTACATAGAGAAGGGAAGGGATTCCAGGAGTGAGCCCTGGGTGCTTCCATGTGTGTAGAGTTCAGGAAATTGAAGAAGATCCTGCTGAGGTGGCTGAGAAAGGGCAGCAGAAGTGGTAAATAGAAAGTTGGATTTTTGCTTGTTTGTTTTGGTTTTGGCAGTGCTGGCTGTCAGACTCAGGGCTTTGCACGTGCCAATGTACTGCTCTACCATTGAGCTACACCCTAGCTTGAAAGTAATGGTTTTTGAAGGCAGTAGGAGAAAGTATTGCAAGGAGGATGGAGTTGGAGTGATGACCTGTGTCAGATACTGCAGATGGGTCAGCTAAGAGACTGATATCAGCAACATGGAGGCCCTGGGTGCTGGACAGAGCTGCTGCAGTGGAGCAGTGTGTATGCTCAGAAGGAACAGGAGAGCAGAAGTTGGAGAAGGAATTCAAATAGCTCTTTCAAGGAGTTCTGCTCTAAGAGTAAAGTCTGTTAGTTGTGCTCGTGCCGGAGATTAGGAGTCTCTCCCTCTGCTAGAGTTATATCCCAGTGTTTAAGAAAAGAAAAATTGGTGACACTTGTTAAAACACAGGAGGACTTTATTCAAGGCTAGGGGCACTGCAGTGACGGTAGGGACCACTGCAATGGGATTTTGCAGTGGGGTAGAGAGAGTGCACTCAACTTCAAATATAGCATGGGCAAGTGGGAATTTATAGCCCAGGGGAAGGCTCGGTGGGTCAAAGATTACTCAGAGAACTTCTGTCTAAACTGAACTAACAGGATTCTGCTGAAGGGAGGCCATTGTGATGAGATATCACCTAGGGGAGGGCAGAGGAGAAACCTGATCAGATATTGAGGGCGATCAGATAACGGGGGTCAGGAGTCCTTGCTAATCTGATTGAACAGTTTTTGCTGAAACTGAATTTTACACGGATGTGCGCAGATGGGCTCATGCGAGGGTTCAGGAGCCTGACTAAAGTGTGGTCGCTCAAGGACTCTGTCACCATCTGGGCTCCCACTGCTAACTGTGCCCCAGATCTTTCAAAAGTATAATGCAAAAGACCTGGGCAGAGTTGTTGTTTTTTTTTTCATGGTACTGGGGACTGAATCCAGGGCCTTCACATGGAGCTGCATCCCCAGTTTTTTTTTTGGTTTTCTATGTTTTATTTTGAAACAGGGTCTCACTAAGTTGCCAAGGCTGGCCTCAAACAGGATCCTCCTGCCTCAGCCTCCGGAGTGCTGGGATTACAGGTGTGCACCACCACACCTGGCTTCCACATTGCCTTCTGTCTTAGTCACTTTCTCATCCCTGGGACAGTTTAAAGGTGGAGAGGTTTATTTTGGCTCATGTTTCAGTTGGCTGTCTCCCAGGCATGATGGCATGGCTGAGGAAGCTGCTCATGGCATGGCAGTAGGGAAACAGAGAGTGAAGGGAGAAGTGGGGGAGGGATATAAATCCTTGCAGGCCAAGCCCAGGTGACCTGCCTCTTCTGACCAGACCTCACTTCCTAACAGCGTTAGCTGTAAGCCCCAGTACTCCAGTCACCCTCTGAAAGCCCTATCTTTTAGCCCATGAGTCTTTGGAATGGCATCTAGAAATGCACAACAGCACATTTTAATTACACTTTGGCCTCTGTCTCAACACCTCTAGTGAAACCGTGGTTAAAGACACTCTAAACTTTGGCTCTCTCCTGTCCTTCTATTTCATTTAGTCCTTTGTTCCCCAAAGTGACCGCCTGTTTTTTCTCTTCTGTTATTTCTAGAAACCTTCTCTCCTCTCCCGTTTTTCTTGAATAATTTGTCTTCTCCCTTCTTTCTGGTACTGTGATAGGAGATTCTATTTAGAGCTCCTCTCTGGTGTCATGGGAGAATAGCTAACTCTGTGTAGTTTTTATTGGGTTGGAATAAAACTTCTGCCAGATTTTCAGTTAAAAAACAAATCACCTCACTCAACTCCACGTTTTCAATATAAAGATTAAGTCTTAGGATGATAATCAAGTACAGGTCTGAAATAAACAGAATGGGGCATTTTTATCTTTCACTTAATCTTTCGCTGGGTTCCTGATTCTCAGAAAAGCTGATACATAGGCAGATGTTATGCCTTGCAAAGTCTGATCTTTCATCCTGTATTTCTTATTTAACTGTATGTCTTTGTGGTCCCTCCATCTTAGCTTTTTTTGGGGAGGGAGAGGTAACTGGGGATTGAACCCATGGTCTTCACACTTAGCTATATATATATCCCAGCCCTTTTTTATTTCTTAGGACAGGGACTCTCTAAGTTTGTAAATTGCCCAGGCTTGAACTTGCGATCCTTCTGTCTCAGCCTCCCGAAGTGCTGGAATTACAGGTGTGCACCGCCACAGCAGGCTCATCTGAGCATCCTTAAACCTTCTGATGTGTTTATTTTGCTGCACCTTGTAACATTTTTCTGTGAGACTGTATAGGTTTTGGTTTTTGTTCTTCGTGCAGGAATTATTTTCTTGTGTTTATCTCAAAGGAGTTATGATGATGGTGAATTTAGTGAGCATGTTTTTTCTTGAGTTAAACTATACCTTGTCCAGCCTGGGTAATTTAGCAATTTAGGAAGATCCTGTCTTCAAATGAAAAATAAGAAGAGGCCTGGGGAAGTAGTTCAGTGCAGAGGCCCTAGGTTCAAGTCCCAGTACCAAAGAAAACTGTATCTTTTGAGTAGTCATGACATTTAAAATTTGTACTTATGAAGGTCATGGAATTAGAGGTTTTGTCATCACCAAGCATAGTATGCTTTATTGTTGGCTTTAATGCAGCACTTCTCCCAAAGCAATATGTATTTGTAAGACTGGAAGTAATTTGTACATGTATGATTTATCGTGTAATGTAAGTTCTTTTAATATGAGATTAGATTTTTTTTTATTGTGGAAACTTCAGTGAGCCTCTGTGTATGAATTATAGAGCATTAGCAATTTTAATTCATGGCTGTCATCCTGTTTCTCCTGTCGACCCACTTGCTTTTCTCTTTTATTACTGGATTATTTTAAAGCAAATCCTTGGTCTTCATTTTCAGTAAATGTACATATATATATATATATATCTTAAATATTTAGTGTTTCAGAAAATAGTAAATATTTATATATATATATCTTAAAGGTAAGCACTGTTTAAAAATCTATATAACCACCATATCATTAACACAATTTTCAATTGAAATATTAAAAATAATTCCTGAATAGCACTAAAATGAACAGCTAGAATTTATAATTCCCCAGTCATCTCAGTTGTTTTCCACAGTCTGATAAGGTTTCAGATGAGGTCTATACATTGTATTTAGTTGATGTGTCTCATGAATCTGTGTTAATTCACAGCCCCTGCCCCCTTTTCCCTTGCCATTTGTTGAGGAAACAATGGTTGTAGGCATGTTTGCTTGCTTGCTTGCTTGCTTTTTTTTTGCTCTCCCCCCCATACTATGTTCTAGTGTCATACACCTCTGTCAGCAGCAGAGTAGCCACTGAGCAAGAGAGTAGTGAGGTGTAATTTTCTGCATGACACTAGCCATCACCACAGTAATGACCAGCTAGACTTTATTTTCCAGGCAGGTCTTATTTTTGAGGAAAAATGGTATTAACTGCCTGCATGAATTAATTCATGAGGGGGTGGCAAGAGTGTTCTAAGGATAAATTATACACGTGGACTAAATCAATGTCATTTCATTTTGCTTTTTTGATGTTTCACTAATTACATGCAAGGTATCAAGTTACATGTATTGTCCACTAAGTTTTCATTGTTTTATAGGAAGAGTATCTACAAAAGTGTTCTTCACTCTTTTTGCCCTGCTTGGTCTCTTCATTTGTTTCTTTGGACACAGATTCTGGAAAACAGGTATCATGTTTGATGTGGATGGTAGTTAAACTCTTTGTAGTCTTTTGTCTTATGTACTTGGAAATCCATGAAGCAAAAGAGTGCTTATTCTCTCTACTATCTTCATAGATTTGTGGCTGAATTCTTTTGATGATTCTACTGAGTTGCTGCACATTTTAATTTTTTTGTTTCTCTCAACAGTGGAGTGCAAATTCCTTTTTTTTTTTTTTTGTACTGGGAATGAACACAGTGCCTTCACACTGAGCTTTTGAGGTTTTTTTCTTGTTGTTTTTGAGACAGGGATCTCACAAGTTGCTAAGTTGCCCTGGCTGGGCTCAAATTTGTGACCATCCTGCCTCAGCCTCCCAGAGTTCTGGGATTACAGGTGTGAGCCACCATGTCTGGCTGCAACCTCCTCTTATTTTTTTTTTTTTTTGGTACCGGGGATCGAACTCGGGTCCTTAGCTTGCGAGACAGGCGGTGGAACCACTGAGCTAAATCCCCGGCCTCCAACAACCTCCTCTTATTAAGTGAAAAATAAAACTGGGTTTGTGTGGCAAACTTCTTCAGTTACTAGATATGCTAATTGGCTGATGATAACTGAGATGGGCAGATTTTGGTGATGATGATGAATTTGATTTCATATGAATCAAGCTCCAGGCCCATGGTATATAGTGAGCCTGAAATTTCTGCTCACTCCTGGAGGTTCAGCTGCCAAAAGGAACTTCAGAATCCACAGAGTGAGACACGGGGTGGAGAATGGAATATAAATTAAGCCCCCCGAATTAGTTTCAGTATTTCAGCTGCCTCTTACATAATGTTTTTCAATTACAGACATTCCTTGTTTAACAGGCAATTACAGTCCCCCAACTAGGTCATTAAGTGAATTGGTCATTAAATGAGGAATTGTGTATAATATGCACATTACAATATTCAGAACAAAGAAATGGTCAAAGGAAACTCCAACTTGGTGACTTTGCTTTTATTTGCATGACTCTTACATGCAGTACTGTAATATATACAGAACATAAAACTACAGCACTGTACTGTATGGAATAATCAGCAAAAATTACAGTACTGTATAAACAAGGTATACCATACCAAAAAAAGACATTGAGGCTCTATAAGCAAGATGTACAGAACTGTACAAAAAACCAAAAAGATGGGTTGTACTTTTGAACAGTGGGTCCTAGATCCAAACAGCATGCCTTGGGCACAAGTTGGAACAGTCCTTAAACATGTAGGTCTTAAAGGATGACTATCTGTGCCTTAAAAAGGTCCTTACCTGAGGCACATAACTGAGCATCAAGGGTAGAGTGAACAGTGAACACCATCCTGATCTAATGACACTCTTTGAACTTGCTGTAACAAAGTGTTTGAAATAGCACCTCCTTCCTCCTTTTTTCTTCTCTTTTTTAGTACTGGGGATCAAACTCGGGACCTTGCATTTGAGAGGCAGGCGAGGCACCACTGAGCTACATCCCCGGCTCCTTTTCCTCTATTAGGACACTTTTTTCTTGGTTAGAGAGTGTTGTGAGGAATATTTAATCCCTCAAAGTGTAGAATGATTCTATGACAAAGCACTTAATTGCTACACTGTGGGTAACATCCAAGATACTACTAGTTGTTTTGTTTTTTCTTTTATGTTGATACATATCATATGTATTAGAATTGAGTATAAATATTACTAGTAACAACTGAGAAGAATTTAAGAAATATGTAGAACTGTGTTGTCCATCCTCAGGATTAGGTTTATTTGTGGGAAACAAATTTATTGGTGATCTTGTATTTTCAGGTATTTAATGGGTTAAGATAAAAGAATGATTTAAAAGAAACAACATCCTTTGCTTTGAGATACTTTTTAAAAACTTTCTACCTTTTATTTTTGCTTATGTAGCCATCAAAATTTAGTGTGTGATTTCAGATTAGACACAAATGACAAAAGCACTATTTTAAAATAGAAAATATAAATGTATTAAAATGAGTTATGACATTAACAGGTAACCATTTAATAACTGAAATTGACCTACCTACATGATAGTCCCAATGACTTCTAACGATCATCTGCCTTTTAGATAGTTATTTTTCCTCCTTTGAATGCCATAATATGTAAATTCTAGTAACTAAATCATATATTTGTAAATTAGATACTTAAATTACATTGTAAAAGGAGTACCTAACCATAGCTTGTTTTGTTTGTTTCTTTTCCTGCTTATTTGCTACCAGAATTGTTCTTCATTGGCTTTATCTTCCTGGGATTCTTCTTTTACATACTGATTACAAGACTGACACTTATTAAGTATGACGGTAAGTGAAAGTGGCAGTTGAACTGGGTGCACCAAAGCACGTTGCTGTATCTGTGCTCCACCTTCCCTTCCACAGGTTGCCCCGTACTGTGTGTCATATCCAAGTATGTGTGTGAAATAGCAAGCCACTGTTACCGGAGCTGGGTTCCTGGGCCCAAAGACAATAGAGGCGAAACCAGAGCCAGAGAAATACAGGCACAGGCATGGCTTTTACTGGGACTTTACTCCCAGAGACACAGCTCTGACAGCTGGCCGCCCTCCAGACAAAGGAAAAGGGGAACCCCCCAGAGGTTCCCATCTAGATCCTCCATACAAATCAGGGATTCAAGCTGGTGGAGTACCTGGTCCTGACTGGCCATGTGACTGGTAGGGTAAGGCAGGTCTGCAGGAGGCCGGTCCCTGATTGCATCTGTGTTCGGAGAATGTATAATTGTTGTATTTTTAACTCCAGGGCCGGATGTATGTCCTGGGTCCCCATTTATATCCTTGTTTGATTCTGCCATGAAACCACAAAACAGGCACAGTCTCTACAGGGCCCCTCCCCAGCATTTGATTGTCTCAGGCCCTTATGAACGGCCCCTGACTCTACCACCTATAGCATCTCTTCTATAGCACATTTTTCTTGAGCTGCCATTTGGCTTTCCCATCTGGGCTTTTAGTCTCCATGGGGAATTCCTTGGTACTTAGGGAAAAGAAAGGTCACATCGATTATAACCTTGCGGTCCAGCTATGTCATATATTGAGATATAAAATGTACAACAATAAAATTGTTCTATATTCTGTATTTAAAACAAACACCCAGCCAGGCGTGGTGCTGCATGTCTGTAATCCCAGGACTCTGGGAGGCTGAGGCAGAGTTCAAGCCTAGCCTGGGTGATTTAGTCTTAGTTAAGATCCTGCCACAAAAATAAATAAACAAACAAATAAAATAAAAATAAAAAAGGGCTGGGGATGTGACTCAGTGTGTAGGCCCCGAGTTCAATCCTCATTATTAAGAACAAAACAAAAATACACAGCTTCCCTTACCCCATCCCATTTAACAGGACGTTTGGCCCCTTCTCCCTCAGTCCTAATTTACATGACAGCCAAGCCTGTCCTCTGTCCTGGGGGTTTTAGCTCTGCGAAGAGTTTGCCTGTCTCAGACCAGGCCCTGGTGAAGCTCCGCAGTGGGTCCCAAGAAAGGGCAAAGGCTGGTCTGTGATGCTATGGTTTAAGTGCCTCCGGTCACCAGTGTGTCGCCTTCCTTTGTACAGTTCGACTGATCCTGACAGCCGCAGCTGGCAGCGTGGGCGGAGTTCTCCTGGTGGCCCTCTGGTGGCGATTTGGGACCCTCGGGCTGTGCCTGCTGTGTACTGGGCTCGTGCTGGGCTTTCTCAGCTCTGCAGCGGCTTTCTTCACTCCTCTGGGTAGGCGATGTGTACGTGATTTTTCTGTCCATTGATTCCTTATTTGGAAGATTTTATTTGAGCTTTCTAGACTCAAATACGGCCTTGTCCGGAATGGCGCTGTGGATGCCGGCCTTCTGAAGAGTTAAGGAAATTGGCCCTGGGCATGCGGCATCTGTAGAGAGGCCAATACCAGAAAGAATCCTTCCATTCTCAAAGGCATGCTGTGCTAGGTGTATTGCAAAGTGCTGCCTTCAAACCCCAGTACCGGCAAACAAAATGCAGATCAGAGCCCCTGCCCTAAGTGTGCTTAATCAAACACTGCTGCTTAATCAGCTTACCCCCTTTCCGGTGTGCTTAGAGGATGGAGGGATGATAGATTGGATTTGGATTTCTAGTAATTAATGTGGCCTTTCTTTCTTCCTCTGAACTGGGAATTGGACTCAGGGCCTTCTCACTGAACAACTTCTCTGGTCTTTTGTTTTGTGTTTAATTTTGAGACAAGGTCTTGCTAAATTGTCCAGGCTGGGCTCAAACTCACAGTCCTCCTGCCTCAGCCTCCTGAGTAGCTGGGATTACAAGTGTGCACCACTGTGCCTCAGCTTAAACTCATATTTTTAAGCATTAAAGTCTGAAAATATTTGGCTGACCTCCCAGATCTGATTAAATCACTACTGTTTCAAGCAGCAAAGAGATTATTCTCTGAAAAGATCTCTTCAGGTGTCTGCATCATCACTATTATGTTTAACCCTTACATTCCTTGAAAGACTTTTTTAAAAAGCCACATGTGTATTTTATGAAGGTTAATATAGTTAGACTTCAGAATATGATCCATACATTTTCCTCACTGGCACATACTGCAATTGGCTTTCAGAGAATTTGGGGCCCTAAAGTCAGATCTTCTGCCCAGAATATGTGGATCTCCAGATATAGAACCATCTACAGATGAACAGTGGTGCCAGCCTCAGTATTGAATTCTCAGGCTTATATTCTTGCTTTTTTAAAAAAAAGAGTCTCCTATGTTGCCAGGGTGGGCCTGCATTTCTGGGCTCACTTGATCCTCCTGCCTCAGCCTCCCAAGTAACTGGGACTACAGGTGCACGCCATGACATACAGCTCTTGCTTTTTAAACATAATTTTAAAAGAGGAGTTCTCATGTGCTGGTTCTGGTCACCCTGAGCTGTGCTGCACATTGGAGTCAGACAGCAGGAGAAGGGTTTGGTAGGAGCAGGTGTCTCCTGCTGTCCCTGTGTGCAGTGGCTTGGCAGGGTATGGGCTGATTGTAAAAATCTGTCAAGGGGATTTTGCCACTTATATCAGGTTCACAGCTTAACTTTCAGTGTCTTTTTACTTGTGGTCTTTTGTTGTTTCTCTAGTTTAAAAACAGGAAATCACAGATATTTAGGGCTAGGAGGAGGGATGATTTAGAGCTTGGAGATGACATAATTCAGTCTTCTCCACTTATGGGTTAGGGAACTGAGGCCCAGGGTCATGGAAGAGCTGGGACTCTTGGAGCCTTTTCTAAATTACCCTGTACTAAGGGCAGAGCGTTCACCTCTGTACTCCTCACCCTCACACCTTTTAGAGTACACCCTTCAAAGGGAATTGTATTGACACTTAAATATAAAAAATCAGAGTTCATTTGTAGTTGCCAACGTATTTCCTGGTCGTTACTTTAAACTTTCAGTGTCTGTGTTCAGATGTTGAGAAAATGAAATTTAACTTGGTAAACTTGTTATTTACTTGTCTCTTTGCTTTTGCAGGAAACCTAAAGGTTTTTCGTGATGATGGTGTGTTTTGGGTGACTTTCTCTTGTGTCACTGTCTTCATTCCAGTAGTTTTCTTGGGCTGCCTAAGAATAGTAAGTGTCTCCTGAAAAGTTAGGTTCATTCATTGCATTGTTAAGGTAGCCTTAACTCCAGTGCATCAATCTCAGGGAGTGTTAGCTTTAGCTGTCTCTCCAGCATGGGTCTTCATATAGTAAGATTTTAGTGTTGAAGTTCTTTTACAGGCAAGATTATTTTCTGTGGTACAGTATAATCGTGCATTGCTTAGCAACAGGGCTACTTTCTGAGACCTTCATCAACAGCATAATGCAAACATCACAGAGTATACTTACACAAACTAAGAGCCACAGTGTTACTAGGTACTGGATATAACCTTATGGGACTGTCATATATTCTGTCTGTCATTCACTGAAACGTCCTTATGCGGTACAGAAGTGTATATTAAGCAGATAAACTGTTTTAAGAACTCCCGTGGATGTGAAGGCTGAAGGTTGTTTTAGTTTATCTTGTCAGGTTGCCTTTAACAGCTGCTAAGACGTCGTCCCTTTTCATGTGCCCTGTCGGATCAGAAGTGATTCCCTGTGCTTGAGGCCAGTGGTGAGAGTTAGAAACTGTTCCTGTTCTACCTGGCATGATGTCTCAGCTTTGACACTCTCCCACAGCTCAACATCCTGACCTGCGGAGTCGTTGGCTCCTACTTGGTGGTTTTGGCAGTTGACAGTTACAAGTACACAAGCCTTTCTTACATCACTCTGAACGTTCTCAGGAGAGCACTCAACACAGATTTCCGCAGGGCTTTCACAAATGTGCCTTTTCAAACTAATGGTAAGACTCACATTCAAAAACTAGGGTAATGGTCAAATAGGAGTATTGACTTTTCCATGCCACCAAGAGCACTCAAAAAAAAAGGCAACTGAGGTGTCTTAGAAAGGAGGAAGCACATTCTACAAATGCTTCAAGAGTGCTTTGTTAATAAGATGTCCATGCGAGCTAAGAATGTAAATGTTTAAGAGTCAGACTTCTAAAAATCTGCTAAATGAACTTGGTTAAGAAATTTCTAAGCCTAGATTACTCTGGTTTACGAAGTCAGTTCTCAAAGAGGAAAAGAAATGACAGTAAAGATGTTTGATGTTGCATGGGTAGGGAGGGTGAGAATGACAACCTGATTTAATTTTTAAGTCGCTGGAGTCTTGTTTTCCCTTCTTTCATGAAGCAGACAATTTGGTAGTTGAAAGTGAAAGTGGTTTTCAATTAGTACGCGAATTGTTTCCTGGGTTGTAAGATTTTATCCATTAAAGATTTTCCATTGACTTTTTAAAGGGAAAAAAAAATGAGCAGCATAGTAAATGTTCACGAATTTTGTAAATTAGGTTGTTTCAGATATGTTCAGATATGAAGAGTGGAAAAGCATGTCTTAGAAGAATTGAGAATATCCTGGATAGGCGCTACTGTGATTGCTGAGTTTTTTAGGGCAAAATTTTCCCTCTACTATCCAGCTTTTTCTTTGAGTAAGGGGATGACAGTGGAGACATTGAAATCCATGTGTCACGGAATTTTAAGTGTAAGCAAAACATTTATTAGAAACTCAGTACAATCTGTGGAACTTGCTCATGTGTCCCCGTGTCTTCTCTATGCAAACAGGGTCGGGCCCTTTGGGGAATGGGGTAGGAAGGAAGTGAGCATGACAGAGTCTCAAGTTCCATGATCCATGATGTACAAATGTGACTATAACCAGGTCCCCACCTCTTTCCCCAGTCCGCGACAACTGCCGACAGGCACTGGTCCCTCAATGTTGGAATGCCAGGGATCCAAACAATCTATTCTTTAATGACCAGTTTAGACTTCTGGATGCCTATAATTGAAAATCTGTAGTTTCAAAGATAAGACTGTAGCTTTCTCACTCATTCCTTGGTTGTGTAGGTTAGGTTTTCAAATACAAAAGTTTAAATGATTCTGTGCTGTTTTTTAGACTTTATTATCCTGGCAGTATGGGGGATGCTGGCTGTAAGCGGAATTACATTACAAATACGGAGAGAAAGAGGGCGACCGCTTTTCCCTCCTCACCCATACAAGTTGTGGAAGCAGGAGAGAGAGCGCCGAGTAACGAACATTCTGGATCCCAGCTACCACATCCCTCCATTGAGAGAAAGGCTCTATGGCCGATTAACCCAGATCAAAGAGCTCTTCCAGAAGGAGCAGCCTGCAGGAGAGAGGACACCTCTGCTTCTGTAGAGGGGTGTGGGCTTGATCAGGGGACCTCAGCTCTGGAGTTCATGCTCACATGGCTTCCGCAGTCTCTGGAGCGATCCTAACATGGTCAGGTGTCCTTGCTGTTATATGGCAAGGGCACACTAGGGAGTTAGGATGCCTCTAAGTCAGGGAAGGAGAAAGACACCAACAAGTTGGTGGTAGGGAGGCTTTTCCTTATTCCAACTACTTAGGAAATTATCTTTTGACTTGTAAATATATGATTGATATATTCCATTAAATCCATCAAAAATTCAAAAATAAAAAACACTGGTTCTCCGCCTGGTGTTTCTTTCTATAACTCCTTGAACAATCCTCTCCCCTGACTCTGTCTAAACTTGGGGAGGGGGAGGTATTTAAGGAGTGTATTGGATCTTTATTCACCTCTGTTTGCAGATGTAGGGATTTGATACTGAATCCCTTGAATGTCAGGATATAAAAAGAGAAGTAACTTTTTTCTTATAGAAGTAATCTGATTACTTAGTTGCATGTTCTTTTAATCAACACGATGTCAGCATTTAAAAAGTTTTAATTGTGGTAAAATACACATAAAACTTACCAACTTATTTTTAGTGTACAATTCAGTGGGATCCCTTTGTTTTTGCCTTTCATTGCTTAAAATGGTGACTTTGCAAGTGGTTAAATTACATCACTTATTTAAAACTAGGTCAATTCTACACAAATAATAGAATGTTTACATAGGTGTTTATTTATATTCCAAATAATGGGCTTGGGTTATTTTTTTCTTTCATGGCCTTTTAAGATAGTGTTGAAACTGAATTAGATGACATGGATTATGTTTCATTTCTAGGAAATAAGTTGACCCCTAACCTTAATGTATGATGCCATTAACAACCTTAGAACAATTGACACTTCAGTATTCTTTTTGGCTGACGTACCTGTGTTAGCATTAATGTATAACAGTGATACATTAATGTATAACTGCTTTCCTGTCATTAAAGCCTGTGTGCTATGTTTTGAAGTGATGAGGGAGTCATCAAGGATATTGGGCATGACCTGCTTTTAATCAGGACCAGCTTGGATTCTGTAAGGAGAGTCCCCTCCATTTGATACCCTTGTTTCACCACAAGAAAGACCTTGGCAGCCCTGGGCTGCATTCCTCCTGCTCAATGCCTTTTTTCTTGCCTGTCAGAGCGCTGCATTGTGAGCCAGTTCCTCTGACAAGCTGAGGTCAGTTGTGCCCGTGGCATATACGTTTGTGAGGTAACCACTACTTAAGTGCTGCTGCTTTTTAGTTTCTTCAGAGCAGAAAAGATTATTGAAGTTTCACGTCCCTGGAGAACTCTTTAACTTTTGCTTTTAAAAGTGTTTTGGGAAGGATAAAACAAAATGAGAAAATATAAAATGAACCATTTTTGCTTTGAAAAGTTAAATGCCGGTATCCATTTACTACTCTGTAATTCTTACTATTTATAATTTAAACTTGACCAAAAAATCTGATTAAAAAATGTACTGTAGGGACTCTGGTTTCTACCATAGCTTTGTACATTCTAACAAGGTTTAATGGAATGTTTGTGAATCATTCTCTGTACCATCAGAATTTCTGTACTGGCTCAAGACGGTAAAAGGCAGAACACACCTTTTTGGAGGGAGAATGCAAATTATTTAAAAACTTTCACTATGATTTGTAATGAGAAAGTCAGTTTGTATAATTTTTATAATAAATACCTATTTTTTAAAAAGTGAGAAAAAGCCTCTTTATTATGGTAGTCTCATAAAAGTTATTACTGTCTCTATTTGTATCATAGCAATAATACATGAGAGAAAAGTTTCAAGCTATAGAAACAAAACTGTAGAATCTGGACAATTTAATGCTTTATCTTAAAATATCAGCTTAAGAAAAATAGGAAATAAAGGAAATCTGGGGCAGTGTATTCAAATTTATATTCTTTGTTAGAAAACTTATTCCTTCTAATGGATTGATTTGTGTTGGGGGTCATTAGTACTTTAGGTGTGTCGAACTGAAGAAAAGTGGTAGCATTACAGAAAAATCTGCTATACTATTCTTTAAATGTTTTCCAAAAGTTCTGATAGTTATAGGTTAGCTATCAGGTTGCCAAAACTCACTATAATACTAGCCAGAGCTTTCTCTTTGGATAAGAGGATGACAGTGAGAGTTTTCTGTAGAAGGTAGGATAGAAAACTAATTCTAATAAAGAAATTGCTAGAATGTTAAGCTGGAAAGGACTTTAGAGATCATGTTGCCTGTCCTTTTATTTTATTACTAAGTTTGAGGTGCCCAAACTTCCTATCAAAATGTGCTTTGTACTCTTATTGTGATGAAGATACAAGTCCCTGATTATTTTCAACTTTCTTCTGCTGATGAATTGGTAGAATATTGCTAATGTTACTATTTCTTGCTCCGGTCTCTTATTGGAAACTAATTTTACACAAATATGTTTTTCTGAGTTACTCATTGGGGCTTTAGACCTATTTATCATTTATTTCAAATGACTCATATTTAAAATTGCTAATATCCATAAATATCTCCACAGCAGCACTGGTATAGAACTTTCCATTTTAAAGTCCTTGGTGCTAATGTGCTGGGAGCCCAGCCCCCTACATTGTGTCTCCGCCCTTGGTGGGGAAGGGGCTATTTTTCTTCATACTGTGGACTAACTTGTGCATCACCCTCCCACTGAAGCCCGAACTCCCCAGTACCCCAGAATGTGACTTTATTTGGAGATAGGGCCTGTTAGGGTTTCTGTTTAGATGTCTCCCCAAAGCCTCATGGTGGGTGCGGTGGGGGTTTCTTTTTCAGAGGGGGCTGAATATGGAATGTGTGATGCTGGGATTAAGGGTTTGTGATTACTAAACATGTGAGTGATTGGTTTGGCACCACCCTAATCCCCATAGTCTAAATAAAATAAAAGGAGCAGAAAGACACTGTTAAGGCCCCTTGTTACCTTTGTTGCCTTGTGCCTTGCCATGTTGTTTCTCCTCTGTGATGTCTGTTTGCCTCCCTGCCTTGGAGTCAGGACATTATGGACTGAAACCTCTACAAACTGTAAGCCGAACAAACCTTTCCCCCTCTAACTTTGGGTTGTGGGTAGTTTTGTCTCAGCAATGAGAGAAAAGTAACTAAGAAGGGCCTTTAAAAAGTGATTAAATTGACCTGAGGATTTAGCTCAGTGGTGCCACTGCCTGACTTGCAAATGTAAGGTCCTGAGTTCGATCCCCGGTACCAAAAAAAAGTGATTAAATCGAGGCCATTAGAGTAGGCCCTAATCCAATCTGACCAGTGTCCTTATACCAAGAGGAGACTAGGGGGTTAGGGGTGTAGCTCAGTGGTAGACAGCGTGCTTAGCATGTGTGAGGCCCTGGAGTTCCAGACTAGGACATACAGATGCACGTGCTCAGAGGAAAGCCACATCAACAGAGAGACCATCTGGAAACAGAGAAGCCTGGGAAGAAACCAACCCTGCCAACACTGGACATGGACTTCCAACCTCCACAACTGTGAGAAAATTGTTTCTGCTATTTTGTTAGGACAGCCCTAGCAAAGGAATGTATTGTGCAAATGTACAGGACCGTTGATGGAAATGCTTCTTGGCCATTTGGTCACCGCATATTTAAGGACTATGCTTTATGAAATGGACATAAAGAGGAGGTTAAGTTAGCATTTGTTCTCCGGTAAGTGAGTGTGGGTGATCCAAGGAGATATGGCCCTCAAAGTAATGTTTTCAGCCTGGTGTAGCAGGGCACTCTGAAGGCTGAGGCAGAAGGAGTGCAAGTTATAGTCCAGCTTGGGGAACTCTGCAAGACCCTGTCTCAAAATAAAAAGGCCTGGAAATGTAGTTCAGTGCGGTGGGCCTAGGTTCAATCTCTAGTACTATAAAAAAGACAAAACAAAAACCAACCAAACTAAAAAAATGTAACTTTTTCTATTTGAGTCTTGTACAAGAATATAATGTCCTCAGGGTAAATTTTTTTCCTTGGAAGATTAAAGAATGGCCATAATTAGTCTTTGGGGGTAAAAGGCTTACTTTGTTTTATGAGGTTCCTGGGTCCCTTGAGAAGGGACTCTTTGTTGCCCCACGTGCATGTGCTCTGACCTGCCTGGAAGAGCACAGATGCCTGTATCTGGGAGTTGTAAGCCCAGGGGCAGAAGATCAGAAAACGAACACAGCTGGAAGCAGCAAACGAGACATGATATTCAGGGTGCCTTTGTTCCCAGTTCTTCATGGGTTGTGGTTTCAGCAATTCAACTAGGAAGGCTTCAACTCCTTTTTTAAAAAACAAAAATATAGCCATCTCATGTGGGGGAGGAGACCATCTCTGTATCCAAATTCCTTAGAACAACTAAAATAGATACATTGTCAGGTCTAGGCCTAGGGTTCTGGAAGAATAATTTCAGGGACAGGGGTTAAAGGCTTCCTTTCTCTGGGGGCAAAAACCTCTTTTATCCTTATAATGCCTGATGTTTTACTCAACACAGGATAGTCTTCTGTTCCACAAATAACAGCAACTCAACTTTCCTTCCAAAACAGCTCTCTTCTGAATTTGTTCAATGAGATACCAGGTATTTTCTTCCTATCCACTGAGATGCTTTTGCTCTTGTGTTTTACCAGGTCCAGAGTCTTGCATGAAGTAGGAGTAAAAGCTTATAAATGTTAGGGCAAATCAACATGTGAAACTCACACACTTAAAGAAAGCACTTCTGATCACTTTTTAAAAAATAGCACTAAGCCCTTGACCACAGAGTGGTGCTATGGTTTGAGACCAGGAGCTGACAAATCACCTCTGTTTTAAAGCGCTAGTCATCTTCCACTGTATATAAAAACAAAAGCTAAGTGCTGAGGTTTGGGGGTTATGTGCAACCGCAGCACAGACCAATAACTACTTTGCTGCTTTGCAGTTTTTTGTAGTGCTGGGGCTTCAATCCAGGGGTGCTCTACTCCTGAGCTATATTCCCAGCCCTTTACTTTGAAACCTGGTATTGTCAATTTGCCCAGGCTGGCCTTGAACTTACTATTCTCTTGTCTCAGCCTCCTTAATAGCTGGTATTACAGGTGCACACCACCGTGCCTGGCTTTCTCTCTCGTTTTATAGAAGCTCCAATGTACTCTTCCTGTCTATGTGTGCTGCTTGAGAAGTATATCCTGTGTTTCAATATTAGTACATTTTATTGTGGTTACAGTGCTACCTATTGCTATTTTCTGAGGCATTGGTTGCTCTAAAACAGTTGGTTTATTGCTTTTCTTTTGCTCATTTGGGGGAAAAAATTGCAAGGGATGTCATTAACTTAAAAAAATCCAAGGTTAGGTACCAAGGTATACAGTAGGGTTTCAAATGTGTGTGCTTGTATATTTCAAAGCATACCTATACATAGGTTTTCTGATTCACAAGAGGCTTATAAAGACCCCTGGGAAGACAGAGGTTAAAGAAAAAGGCTAACTATTCTGAACTGTGTATTTTTAAAACATACAATTATTTTTACTTAAAAGTTAAGTGATAAAGATGAGCATGACATAACAAACTTGCAGGGATTATACACTAAAATGACAATAAAGGTATGTATATCCACGTCTACTGCAGCATTATTTTGTGTTTAAAAATGTGCAATCTGAATATCCAATGGGGAAACAGTATAAATTACAACACATTTATACAATAGTAGTTACAAAATGCTTTGATTTATAGGAAACAGAAATTGGCACAGTAGAATTAGTTTGAAGTATATTGATATTGTTTATAGAGATTTCCCCCTTTTCATCTGATTTATAAGAATACATAATTATTTATTTATTATATTAAGCTTTTAACTTAAGCAAACATTTTTCTTTCTACTGCTAGAACCTTTAGACCGTAGTATACCATAAACTACACTGAGTTGACACTGACAATTTACTTAGCAGTTCTCCTAAAATAGGATATTTAGGTTGAATCCAATTTGTCTATTCTAACATGGTTTGGACCAGGGGTAGTAGTACAAATGATGAGAAATGGTAGGTTCATGATATATTCTGAAGGGTTGGCCATTGGATTTGCTGATGAATTTGATGCATGATATAAGAGAAAGTGGAGTCAGGTGCCACTAGGGTTTTGGGTCTTGACAGTTGGAAAAACGCAGCTATCAGCACCAGGATGAGAGTCTGGAGAGGTTCTGGTAGTTATGCATGAGAGTTCGGCTTTTGACATCTTAGGTTTGAACTGGCTCTCTGGCAGTCACAGCTGGAGGAGTTTGAAGTTAATGAGAAGTCTGAGCTGGTGGTATAAATCTGGGAGCCATCCATACAGGTGGTATTTAAAGTTCTGAGTCTGGAGGAGCTCAAGGAGTAGTAGAGATACAGCACTCAATAGGAGTAGCCTGCATGTGGTGGCTCTATAGTGTTAAGAGGCCAGAGAGAAGAAAAGAACAAGAGGCTAGAGACAGAGCAGCCAGTGAGAGAAAAGGAAAAGGTACCCTCAAATGCCAGCTGTAAATTGTTTTCACCAATATTTTATTAAAATTGTTTCACTCTCGGGCCGGACATTAGCTCAGTGGTTTCGCCACCTGCTGCGCAAGCGCAAGGACCTGAGTTCGATGCCTGGTACCAAAAAAATAAAAAATAAAAAATTGTTTCACTCTCATAAAAAAGCTAATATTATTCACCCAAAATTAATTTATGGATCTATGAGTCTCCATTTCTTCACTGAAGCAGTTTAGAAATATAAAAATTTAGAAGTTGCTTTGATATAAAAGAATATAAATTTGAACAGAAGCATTTTATCTGTGAGGCTGTATATAGTTTTTAGAATTCTAATCCCTACATAAAATTTTAAAAAGGTTGATTCATGATAAATATATGATGTATTAGTTTCTTAGTGCTGCTCTAAGAAATAATCACAGGCTGAGTGGCTTAAAATAAGACATCTATCTATTTTCTCACAGTTCTGGAGGCCAAACCCTATAATCAAGTAGGGTGGTCTCTTCTGCAGGATCTGAGGGGAAATCCATTCCATGCCTCTCTCCTAGTTTTGGATGGTGGCTAAGGCTCGTTGGTGTTCCTAGGTTGCATAAATCTCTGCCTCTGTCTTCATGTGGCTTTTTCTCTGTTTCAAATCTTTTAATAAGGACACCAGTCACCGCATTTGGGGTTCAACTAAATCCAAAGTGATCTTAATCCTGAGAAAATTACATGTGTAGATTTTCTATTTCCAGATATGGTCGGTCGTATTTCCAGGTAGGGCTGTTTAGAGTTTGGACTTAGCTTTTGTAGGGACATTACTCATCCCACTACAGATAAGAAAGTCTGTAAGATCAGCAGTAAGTAACTGCCGACCTACTCCTAAGAAATAGAAACAAAACTTGTTGCTTAGTACTTGTTTTATGGTAAGAAGAGACAAAAAGCTTTAAAAATTAACTATATACAAGACATGCAAACACTGTTTTCAAATTAAACTGGAGGCCATACCAGTTTTAACCATTCATCTTTATTGATAAAATAGGCTCCTATGCCAATACATACTTTCATACATAAATTTAAAGTCCTGTAAAAAAAAAATGGGGTGGAAAACTGTCCTAAAAACAAAGTGACTGTCTTTCAACACCCAAGACCTTAAAATTTATCCAAGCAACAAGGCTAATAATAAATTAACTTGTTTACAAAAATAATCATTTATCAAATAATGTTTTATAATAGAGCTGCCACAATGAATTGCCTCAGTCTTAATCTCAACTGCATAGCTCATTTTCTTTTCTTGGAATAAAAACTATTTGAATGAATATGCCATTGAATGAAGGGATACTTTCCTAAAAACCTATAGAAAAGTTTAAAAATAAAAAAATTCCATTTATTTATAAAATATTAATTAAGGCCTCTGAATGAGAAAAGAAATCTATTTAATGTCTGGGCTATTAGCCCTTTTCTAATCAGCCCATCCACCCCAAACTTAAGATAGAAAATCTCTGAAGTGAAAAGTAGTTTTGAATTTTACCAATATATGAAATACTCAAAAATTATCACAAGAAGTAGTATTTCCTTAACAAATTATATACTCAAAAGTAGAATTTTCTATTTGTGCTAATTTTAATATGTATTTAATATAAATGAGTATAATATAATCATATTTGATACTCTTTTATCCTTTTACTCTATACTCACTACAAAATAAGAAAACTTTAGGTCTTAATTGGTGTTAAAGCACATTTCTCTATCTGGTAGCTTTTAAAAATTCAACACTGTATATTTGATTTTTTAAAAAAAACAAAACAAATATATGTAAATCCATAATTTCCACCTTCCTTTCCAAATGAAAGGTCAGAAGAAAAATCTTACTGAGTATGAGGACCAGATGGAGCTTAAAAATACATCCAGATTTTTTTTCCAAAATTTGACAGTACTTTTTTCTTAAAATTTTTTTTTTGGGGGGTACCAGGGATCAAACTCAGGAACTTGCACTTGCGAGGCAGGCGGCGGCACCACTGAGCTAAATCCCCGGCTTGACTCTACTTTTTTGTATTTTGAGATTAATTACTAAAAAAAGGGGGGCGGGGTTCTATGAGCCAGAGGAATTCTGAATTTAGCTTGAAAGTCATCATACCTATCTTGCTATATCAAACATTTCAACTCTGTTAGCTAAATGAACCATATAATACCCTTAAATAGGTATCAACCAGAGAAGAAAAAAAAAATCTCATTTTCATAATGATTGAGAATTAAAACTTACTCTTTCAAAGGAGTAGTTTAACCTACTAAGTATGTCTATTGTAAGATCTTCTTTCTTAGAAAGTAATTATTCCTTCTCTTTCATTCCTGAAATGATGTTTCACACATTTAAGCACATTATAGACAACTTATAGCTAAGAATTAGTTACAGTAAATTAGCTGGAATTAAATTACTTCTTGTTTGTGGTACATATGAAACATTCCTAGTCCCTTTAAACCTGGATTTTGACAAAAAATTAAATTAATGGAAAAGTAGACAAGCAGTCACTTAAGTAATAAGTCACATGGTGCATAAACAATTTAATTCTGACACCAAACAGGAAGAATAAAATTCACTATGCAGATCTCTTATTCATAAAACCATGGCAAAAACTTGTATTTTAAAACTGGAATAATTCTATGAATTCCCATTTATTGGGACTAGTTGAGTTTATATTTATATCACTGAGAGAGCTAATAACACTACTGAAAGCTTGATGTATTCAAGAGTCACCATGAAAAATCTTTCTTTTGTTCATCAATTAACAGTGGGTCAGTTTCTACATTTTCGTGTTTTGGAATAAAGTTTACAACCATTAAATACTCATTTTTTCATTGCTACCTCTTAGTGCACTGTATATACTATAGAGGGGAAAAAACGTGTTGACTGAAATTGAATTTTCTGTTCATTCATTCATTCATTAGCTGATCAGCCAGTCTTGGCAACTGTGTGGGGCCATGTACAAAGCCTCCAGACTCGGAACTCCTTCAGCTCTTTCTCAGACTCAGATCACTATTGGTCACTAATGCTGACAAAGACGTACTTTCTGATACATCTTCCTTCCGAAGGTTCAAAAATGATTCTCGAGTTATTTGAAGGATCTCTCTCAAGCCTTTGTTTTCTTGCTATAAGGAGGCAAGCAAAAACAGAGTTGTAGTCACCATCTATAAGGTAGTTACAAGAGGGCAAACATACTTTAGAAATCTAATCATATGAATGTATGACAAAGAAAAAGTTCTGTAATTGCCATAAAAGTACTAAGTCATAGGGCCGGGGATTTAGCTCAGTGGTTCGGCTGCCTGCCTTGCAAGCTCAAGGACCTGAGTTCAATCCCCGGTACCAATAAAAAAAAAAAGTACTAAGTCATATATGCAGTTGACAACTTGAATCTAAAAAACACTTTAAAGAGGTGGAATTGTGCTCAATCGCTTCTACCACTTTAAATCCTTAAATAGGCAAATGTGATTGAGATGAAAACTGAGAAACTGCCTTATTTTATAATCACACTAGAGAAGAAAACAACATCTAGATTTATGTTTACATAACTCATAAAGCCCGTAAATAACATCCTAAGAGTAGAACCTCTCAGTACATTAGTACTTTTATTACTTTTCATCATAGTATGGAAGACAGGACAAGCCATTTAGTTTGTTTTCATCCCTGGAATTTGAGAACACAGGGCTGTCTAGGAGGTGATACTTTTCAAGAAGGAAAGTAAGTGGACACATGTGGCACTATAAACAACTTTGCCCTTTTTTCCCCTTCTAAATTAATTACTATAAGAAATGTGCAGATGTTTAAAAATGATCTTTCATTATTTATTCTCTACCATTAGCATCAATTTCAAAAATGGCCTAAAACAAGGATTACCCGGCACTGAGGCCTGTTTTTGTCAGTTAAACTCTACTGGAACATAGCAATGCTTATTTTTTCCCCTCTGTGGTTTCTTTTGCATTACAATGGCAAAGTTGAACAGGTACAAGCTGCCTAGTTTGCAAAGTCAAAAATACTTACTCTGGCCCTTTATAGGAAAAGTTTGCTCATTCATGTTGTACAGATGGGAGAACACTGTACATGCTTAGAAAGAAATCATTTCCAGCCCTCTGTAAGCAATTTCCTGACTATGATTTTAAAATAAAACTTTAAAGTATGAAAGTATTCTTCTGACTTGAGTTATTCAACAATTTTTACTTCTGCTGTCATAAAATAGAGAACAGACAAAGGCTTTTTACAGTTCTCAGAAAAAGAAGTGTTTGGAAAAATATCATTTTTGGATTGAAAACAGTATTTCCCTGCAACACTGTGATCTTTAATAGAATGAAAAAGTTTTCAAAATTACAAAATTGAAGAAGTATATTCATTTAGTAAAAAAGCAATACAGGAACAAAATACTACTTTCTCACTTTCTGGTATAAGTTACTAATGATCCTAGATTGTTTTACTATATAAATGGTCTTGCATCGTAAGCTCATAAAAGCAGCAGCATCCAGATTAAGGAAAAGGGAAATGAGAAAAAAAAGAAGCCAGATACATCATGTAGAGGTATAAATTCCCTATGATGAATGTTATCATTATGTATATCTAAAATGTGCCAATAAAAAAAACTGGGTAAATTTCAAGAATATTTATATACCTAAAATTAAAGCCAGCCCAAATTAAAAGTTTTCTGAATAACGAAATGAATAGAAAAGCAAAGCAAAGAAAAAAGGAAAAGAACACAGCTGGGCGTGGTGGCGCATGCCTGCAATCCCAGCACTTGGGAGGCTGAGCACTTGCAAGGATTGCTGCACGTTCAAGGCCAGCCTGAACTACATAGCAAGAGCCTATCTCAAGAAAAAACAAAACCTTACCAAGTACCCCAGAAAAGTATGGGCCACTGCGTTATGTTTTCTGATGTAAGTTGTATGGGCAGTTTTCACCTACACTTACAACTTAACACTTACTTCAAGCTGAAATATTCTTTCTTGTTCCTTGCAACCCTGCTGCTCATCAATTTCAATGGCTTTTCTCATGACTGCTGCCATTTCAGTTATCTGGTCAACATGTGCCTGTAACTCCTGAAAAAAAAGGACAAGAGTTGGAAATCAGTTAAATACTTTAGTTTTACTTCTGGAACCTTTGCTTTTTATAAAATCCACAGTGCCACTTAACATGAATGTAATATTCTTTTTGGTTTATTTTGAATGTAATTATTCTTATATTGCTGCATAACAGGAATGTAACAGATCACAACAAAGTTTGTTGACCATGAATGTGCTTTTTAAATTAGATTTCTACTAGGACTAGAATTAAGGCCAACAGCACAGCATAACTAGACCCAGCTGCAAGGAATTTACTCATTTCACATTCTTCTCAGCACAACGATCAGCAATTTTTTTCTTTTTTGCACCTAAACATACTATTACAATAATGGGGAAGATAAAGATTATTGACAAATTTAATCTCTTTTCTTCTCTGAAGTCTTCATGGTTTACAAATCTTTTCTATATTACCCATGCCTATAAATTAATCTCAGTCCAACCTAGAACCTTTTCTAAATTACAATACTCCCTCAGAGAGGAAGTATATCCTGTTTATATCTACCTATTATTTAAGGTTTGGGTATGTAATAAATATTGAGTAAGAAGAAGAGAATTCTGTTTTTAAGTATTAAAATATTAAATGGCCTTTCTGACTGTTGAAAATATAATTTCAGTTTGCTAGGTGGACACACTTTTCCACTCTCCTTGTTTTTCGCACCCCTATGATATGCTGGGCAGTGTGTCAGAAACAGGATATAAAGCCTATTAAGAAACATTCTCTTGGGCCGCGGGTTTAGCTCAGTGGTTCCAGCGCCTGCCTCACAAGCGTAAGGTCCTGAGTTCAATCCCCGGTACCAAAAACAAAACAAAACGAAAAAAAGATACATTCTCTGACCTGAAGAAGCCTACAGTCTAGTGGGAGACAGACAAAAAAGGCTTAAAACCAACAGAAACTTGAAAATTACCTTTTATCAGTAAATAGCACCTACAGACCATTATTCAGTGGCAATGGAGATGAGCTTATTTTATTAAGGTCAAAAGTTAAATTTAAAGTGAATTATAATTCCTCAAAGAGATATCAAGTCTCTTAAATAGCTGTACACATTCTCTCCTTGTAAAAAGAACTGGAATAAGCCCTCAAAAGACCTACAAAACTATTATACTGGAAGAAATAGAGAAAAAGCAGAACTTTTTTTTTCCTTTTCTTTTCTTTTTTTGTGGTGCTGGGGATCAAATTCAAGGCCTTGCATATGCTAGGCAAGAACTCTATTACATAGCTACATCCCCAGCCCTATTTAATAATTTTGAACAGAACTGCCAGTCCTTATTTTACTTCTTTTGATGCTGGGGATTGAAGTCAGGGACTTGAGCATGCTAAGCACACATTCTACCACTGAGCTATCCCCCAGGAGAAACCCGCATAATTGGAGTACTTAGGAAGAAGGCACAAGAACAGGTATCTGTGCTGTCCAGTACAGTGCTATTAACATTAAAATAAAGTACATTTAAAAAATTCCATCCTTCAGTCACACTAGTGACTGTTAGTCACACCTGTCAGTGCTCCAGGGGCACATCTCATAGCACAGATAAAGAACATTTCCCTCATTTCAAAAAGTTACATCAGACAGCCTTGGATTAGATTATAATGGCAATAGTGATACCAAGACAAAATTTGCCATGTTCTGTAACAGTTAAAAATAATTAAATTCCCTCCTACTGTAATGGGAACATAACGCCTAACAGTATGTAAATACGGGTCACTGCAGCAGCAAAATGCATGTGTAACAAATTAAAATTTTAAATACCAACAGTTTTCTTAACTTATGATTTGCTCAGTCCTGTGGCTGCAAAATGGGCTAAAAAACTACATAAGCAGCAAGTACTTCTTTGCTTTTAAAATGGAAGAAAACAGAACTATTAATTTTTTTAGGGAAGAATCTGTTCTAACAAGATCAACACATGAAAAAAATCCAATATTTCAAATGCTACAGTATTTTTATGGGCCCAGTTAATGATTCATTTATTATTAACTATAAAATCTTTAGATAAGAATCACAGGATTTTTAATGGGAATAAAAGGCAAGAACTGTGATTTCAAAACTATCATGAAGGTAAGAAGAGTCAGCAACATAATCCTTGAACTGTATTGAAATGCTTTTAATTTCTAACTTTTGTCTAAGTTGATTTCTAGTACCCAATAAAAAGACCTGCCATGACCTAAATCTTTTTTTAAGTTAAGACACAATGGAAAGAGCAATACTATATTCAACTATAATGTCTAAACAAAAGGCATTTTTGCTTATTTGTAAACTCAAACTATAGGATTTTAAAAATCTAAATGAAAACATTTCATTAATAGTTTGATGGACCAACATTTTTATGTTTCAGGTTAAAATTAATGCCAAGAAAATATCAGTGATGTCCAGAAGGAGAATAACTGTTTCGTAGAAACAAAATTTACAGCAAGAGCTAACAAGAGCTAATAAGTGAAAAGCTGAGCTGCATGTCCTTTAAAATCAGTGGTCACATATCAGATTACATAAGACATAGAATTAATGACAATCTAAAGTTTCCACACTGAACAGGCAGGGGTATCAAAAAGCATGGCATTCTTTGATTTATTGGCTGATCTACTCTGGGACAGAATTTCAATGTAAAAGAACTTTTTAAATGGAGCCCCTCTTCCATCCACACCCCAAAGTTGAGTGTTTTATTTAGGGTACATTCTGATTTGCTTCCAAGTGCCTCCTCTCGAGTCCATGCTGAGGTGCTTCAAAGATGTGTCGAGATGCAGCAAGGAAGAATCCTTCGGAGTTGTTACGATGTACCATGTCAATCTGTAGTACAGAGTCATTATAATGTTAATACGGATATTATCCGTAATTTAAGAATTGAATGAGTGTTAGTTCATGCGTGTTAGCCAACTGTTCAAAATGTTTGTTTTTTTAAGATTTCCAAAAAGGTATCTGTTAAAAATGATGTAAAAATTGGCAGTGGGATGAAAATGAGTTCTATTAATTTTGAAGTGTGAACTCAGAAACTTCTAGGTGAGTACAAAATTCTGTACTACAGTAGTTTCAAAAGGACCTGTTACTCCGAAATGGCACTATGTGTAACTCTATTTGTTACCTCTAAGTGTGCTATAAAATTATTACTGTGCTTAGGCTTATCAGAGCTCTGGTACCTAAACATATCCTAGAATCCCACATTTTTTGTGCCTTTATCTTGTTTCTGCTTAACCATTTCTGCTACTGAATCTAGTCCCTGTAATTAAAGGCTAGCTTAGATTTTCTTTCCCTGACATCTTTCCAGCTTTTCCTCATGAGAACTAATACTGTTCCCTTAATACTGTATTGTAGTAGCAATTTATATTTCTACTATACTCTACCTCAAGTTATTTTGTGTCTGTACCTCCTATAACACTGTATGCTTGTATAGTAATACAACTTATAACCACCCGTAACAACTAACCCAGTGCAACTGTTAAATGTTTAACTGAGCCAAAGTATTTCCTTTTTGGGAAAAATCAAAATCACAAACATTAATATATATTAGTTAGAATTAATAACTGAATAGTCATTTAATGGAAGACAAGATAAATTCAGTCTACATAATGAAATGGATAGTTTTTAGCTATCTTAGGAAATGTTTAACTTTGCTAATTACAGAACAGCTCTGGTGAATATACCACCTATGCATTTTATTTAATTATTCATTTATTATTTCTAGTGCTGGGGTGGGGGCTCACGCATACTAAGCACTTGCTCTATCACTGAGCTACACCCTGGACCCCTAATATGCTTTAGAAAACATTTTCTCTGTCATAGTTGCTACCAAATGAGACTAAAAAGCTGCAGTGTCTTATTCTAAGCACTTTATAGTCAGGCTATTCTTCCCTTTACATTTTAAATTTTTATTTTTCAAGTTATAAGGGCCTTTTGAAATATCTGAAGATTACAATTATCCTGCAATAATTTAAGTCAGTTCCTCTATATCCCTTTTAAAAAATTCTTGGTTATACATTTAAATTTAAATAGTTTACAATGGTCACATTAATAACATATTTTTATATTCAAAAGATCACCACTTAACTATTTAAGAACTTTCATTTGGTAAAGAGATGAATATTATAATTAGATAATACCAATCATTAAATCCAATTTTAATAACTTTTTTTTTGGTACCGGGGATCGAACTCGGGTCCTTGTGCTTGCACAGCAGGCAGTGAAACCACTGAGCTAAATTCCTGGCCCATGACTTATTATTTTAATAGTTGAGACAAGAGGCACCTATTAAGTTCCCTAAAATGTAAAGTTGTAACACAAAGAGCTATTTCCTAGATATTTAATTCTAACAGAATTAATAGTAATTTAAAAATTACAAGTAGGAAGATGGAAGACATATTTTATGTATTTATGTATTTATTTATTTATTTTGGTACCAGGGATCAAACTTGGGTCCTTGCGCCTACGCAGCAGGTGGCGAAAACACTGAGCTAAATCCCCGACCCTGAAGACATATTTTAAATAATCTAAAACATGGGCTGGGGTGTAGCTCTGTGCAAGAACGCTTGCCTAGTATGTGTAAGGTCCTGGGTTTGACCCAGCACTGCAAAGAAGAGGCAGGAGAGAGAAAGACAGAGAAACAGGGAGGGAGGAAGGAGAGGGAGGAAAGAAAGAGAGAGACAGAGATCTAAAATGTGTCTCAATAATTGAGAAAGATTAAACTCTATCTTATAACAATCACTATTTAATATTAGTAATAACTCACCATTATCCATTTAGATGATGGCCTAGTTACCACTGAAATCTAGCCCAACATTTTTATTTCATACCAGCAATTAAAATTCAGTTTAAAATGTAACTGGAAATTACTCTTCCTAACAGCTGCTAACAAACATGGGACATACCAAAGGGGACAGATACAGGGAAGACAATAAGCGGCAGGAGAGACACTGGTAGTTTCTAACCATTTCAGCTGTGTCTAAAAACAGTGTCAACTGGTATATAATATTGGGGCAAATTCTCTACCCCACTGTTATTCCACTATCATCAGAATCATTAATAGTCTGGATAAATTAGCTTCATTCAAAAAATTGTTTTAAGAAAAAAAACTACATGTAGTTACTTTCAGATTTTAAAAAAGTTTTTAGCATTTCAATTTTTGTTTCTGCAACTGATATCATTACAAAAAATTATTAGAAGAAATACTTCTTAAAAGCAGATAATCTTATAAAAACAAATTTAAACTGAAAAACTTACCTTTATTTCCAAAATCGTTTGTTTTAATATAGAATGTATACATTAAAGTCACTAATAATAAGTGTTAGAAGAATAAATGAAGTAGAAAATGATACATAACAAATAAGAAATGATTAACAGAAAAAGAAGAAAAATGTCAATTAAAAGGATGAAGTGTTCAGTATCAGGTTAAAACAGTATTACTAGATATCTGTGATTTTTTTCTTTTTTAAAAATCTGGTCACAAATTAACCAACTGGCCTCTTTTTCATCTCAAACTCCCATTTATAGAATGTATTACCTTGGAGTGCTGTTCTTTTAGCTTCATTATTATACCCGGATCATCTTTTTTGCTAGCCATTAGCAATCTAAACATTTGTTCTCGATACTTGCTCATTATAAGTTCCAAGGCAGACTGATGTTCTTCCAGGGATGTACGTAATTCTATCAAGAATAACAGTGTATTTTATTCAAACTTGAGTTAAGGGTACATAATATATTCTTTTCCATATCATATTTATCAAAATACCAATTGTTTTTAAAAAAGAAAACATGATGCCCAAAAGTCTACCATATAACATAAAGCCATTAAATTAATTCCCCAATTAGTTTTTTAAATGGTCATTTTATTTATTCATTTATTTTTTGAGACAGGGCCTGGCTATGTAGATCAGACTGTCCTCAAACTCACTATCCTCCTGCCTCAGCCTCCTAGGTGCTGGGATTACAGGAATGTACCACCACACCTGGTTTATGTGCACTTTTAAAGAATCATTTCAGCATTTACAGAACAGCAATTAAATATCAGACAATGCTCCTGCTTATTAAGAATATTAAAGGCCACAGAGTTTAGAGTCTAGCAAAGAAAACAACATGTGGTAAGTATAGAGTGAAGAACTACTCAAATACATTTAAGAAGTCTGGGAGGGAGAAGCTGGTGAAAACTTCACAGATGTATAGTGTTGAGAAGAGATGACCTTATCTTCCTTGGGCTAAAAAGTGAAGGAATAACCATTCTACGCAGGGAGGCATGAAAGTGGATGATGTGTTAAGGATGGCAGGAGCAAGGGGTTCACGGAGGAGAGCTGTGGAAATAAGAAAAGAAGGCTGGGCATTGACTTTGAAGGCCCTTGTGTAAGGAAATAGGATACAATGAAAGTTCTTAAGTGAAAGAGCAGCATGACCAGATTCATTTTTGAAAAATCAATCAGATGCTTGTGTTCAAGACTGATGGACAGAGATAAAAGACTGGAATCGAGGAGGCCAGCTAGGACAAAAAATTATGAGCGCAAAGCAGTGGGACTGCAGAAAATCAAGCCAAGTTGTTTCATAGATAACAGCAATAGTATAAGCTGGATATTCAGGGTTAGAAGTTAACATGATGCCAAGCAAGGCAGACATTCATGTATAGAACAGGATCAAGAGTGATAAAAAGGATTTAGGCATATGAAATAGAAATGAGATTAATATCAAAAAGTAACTTAGGATGGCTGTTTTTATACTTTTGAAAATACTAATTGGTCCCAATGGCACAATTGCAGATTAAAGTTCTTTTTTGAATTGCTGTATACAATAATAATAATATATCTTGCCTTTGTTTTCTTGTTGTAATTCCCTGATTTGTCTATTCTCTTGCTGGATTCCCATAACTAATGTAGACCGTGGTCGATGTCTTGCAACTTCATTAAGTTCTTGAATTTCTTCCTGATACTAATGAAAACATTAAAAAAGAACACAAGGGGAGAAAATATTTGCAAATTTTTATCTGATGTATAAATAAATATAAATAAATGAACAGACCCTCCAAAAGTTAAACATAGCAGTACTACATGACCCATGCATTCTATTCCTATGTATAAACCTAGGAAAATTGAAAACATGCCTGCACAAAACCCTATAAATAAATATTCAGAGTAGTGTTATTTATCAGCAGAATGGATAAACACAATGCACTGCATTCTTCCAATGCAGTATTATTGGGCAATAAATGGAAGTGAAGTACTGATACATAAGTTAATCTTAAAAATATTGTGTTAAGAGCCAATCACAAGAAGCCACACACTGTATTATTCCATTCATATGAAAAATCCAGAATGGGCAAATCCATAGAGAGAAAGAACAGTGGTTGCTGGGGTATGGGGAACAGAAGTTAGGAAGAGACTGCTAACAGATAAAGGATTTGAGATGATGAAAATATACTGGAATTAGATGGTAGTCATGTATAACCTATGCATATATTAAAATCCAATAAATTTTACAGTATGTGAATTTTATTATTAATAATAAAAGAACATGTGCAAAAATACAAAGATTTTGCTTCAAAAAATAAGAGAAAAATCTAACTTTAAAATTGTACTTATTTAATTTCAAGGCATTCTTATGAGACACTTAGCAATGGATTCATTGTAAAACTTTTTTTTTCCTTTGGCTGACTGGGGGATTAGACCCACAGAGTCCAATCTATATTCTTGGCCTTTTATTTATCTATTTATTTTTTTTATTTTGAGACTGGATCCCACTAAATTGCCTAAGCTGGCCTAATCCTGCTTCAACCTCTGGAGTGTCTGGGATTATAGGCATGTACCATTACAGCCAGCACACTCTTAGTTCTTAACATCAGATGTCAGACTCGACTTTTTTTTTAAAAAGAAAGTCAATGCAAGGCATATGTCCACCTGATGGCCTGAGCTGAACTGCAGTTACAGAGGTTACAGTTACAGTTATAGGGCAACACAGTTGCAAAACAGACCAAGTAAGCTTGTTTCACTATTTCCATAGTTTTGTCAATAGCATTAATCCCAGGGTTGCTTCCTTTACAAAATGAGCAAGGGTCAGGAGAGTTAGCTGTGAGTATATATTTTCCCATCTAACTTCCCAGTATCAGAGATCGTACAGTTTTTCTTAAGAGTTTAACATTTTTATCAGAGGAAGGCTTAAAATGATAGCCACATTCCATGGCCCACTAGAATATTCTGTTGTACATAGTAGTACCCATTACTTCTTTTTAGAAAGTATAGCTACAATAACTGCAGAGGGTATAGGCCACCTGTATACTGCCTTACATTATTTTAAAAAATGATTTGATTGTTAAATAGAATCATGCGACACCTTTTATACAGAAAACCATAAGTGTTTCTACATTAAGACAGAGTAAAACGTGTGTTAACATTAGTACAAGGTATCTCTGGTCTTTGTCAAACATAGCCAGCCCTAACAAATTAATTTTCTATACGCAAATGTCCATCTCTGTCAGAAAAGTAATCATATTTAGCTTGGCACGGTGGCACATACCTGTAATCTGAGCTACTTGGACACTGACACAGGAAGTCTCAAGTTTAGGGCCAGCCTGAACAACCTAGACCCTATCTCCAACTAAAAAATAAAAAGGGATAGGGTATAGCTTAGAGGTACAGAAAGCACCCTTGGGTTCAATTCCCAGTAATGCAAAACAAAACAAAACAAAAATCCTATAGGCTTTAGAATATATATACACATATATGCCACCTGAACATGACAAAATTATATCCTAAAGTAAAATATACAACTGAAACTACTTAAAAATCTTAGGGAACTTTAAAAAAATTTCTAATTTAGCAGTAGCTTACAATTCAAACAATACATAAAGGGCAGTGACTGCTTTTGTTAAATGGAATCAATGAGAAAAACCAAACCTGCTTCATTGCTTCTACTCGCTTGTTGAGAGCTGTGGTTTGCTCAATTAGAGATTCTGCTGCATCGTCATGATCTCGAAGCCTTTCAACAAGGGCTTTAGCATCAGCAAGTGCCTTCTCAATTGTGCAACTCATTTCTAAAGGAATACCTGTAATTAAAATTAAAATCAAGACTCCAAACAAAGTCAGCATATTGCTTTATTTTAACTTCATGTAAATACATGAAGCTTAAGCTTCATTTGTTGTTAAGATTGTTCACTCACTGCAAGCATTACTGTATTAACAAAATCTGAAAAAGACACAAAAACAACAACAAAGAAAGCACAGATGCAAAAAACTTTCATAAAATCCTCCACCAAAAGGCTATAGGAACTGATAAACTCACCAGGATACAAAAATAAGTAGCTCTTCTATACATCAAGTACAAATTTGCTGAGAAAGAAATCATGAAATTAATCCTGTTCACAACAGACACACACACACAAATGTACATATATATATATATATATCACTAAAAATATATATATCACTAAAGAGAGAGAGATATATATATATATATATATATATATAAATCAATCACTAAAGAAGTGAAAGATCCCTACAATGAAAATCATAGAACACTGGTGAAAGAAATTGAAAAGTCCAAGATGGAGAGAGCTACCATGTACATGGATTCAAAGATTTAAAATTGTATGAAAGTCCATACTTTCAAAATGATGTACATATTCAACCTAATCCCCATCAACATACTAATGACATTCTTCACTGAATTAGGAAAAACAATCCTGCAATCCATATGGAAGCAAATAAGAACGAACCCAGGTAATCAAGAGAATCTTGAGCAAGAAGAGCCAAGATGGAGGTTCAAAACTTCTGAATTCAACACATACTACAGAGGCATAGTAACCAAAGCAGCCAGCATGGCCCTGGCATAAAAACAGATATATTAACCCAGGGTACAGAATAGAGATCTGAGGAAAAAACTCCATAGTCCACAATGAACTTCTTGTATTAGTATTTGAAGACCTCAAAATTTCAATTTTAAAATAATGTCTTGAAAGAACTTATAATTTTCTGAAACTTACCCTCCTTGAATTTTTTTTCTCTTTCTACTGAGTTTTACCTAACCTTTTATGAGCCACCCTTTCTTTAGGGTTTTCTCAAAAAAATCCCTAGGCCTCAAGCCAGGTCTAGAGAAGTTAAACTAAAACCACAGCACAGAGTCAAGTCAGAACTATAAATAAATGAACTTTGGGAAGAGAGAACTTTGCAATGTAATCTAGTCACTTTGCAGAACTGGGATTTGAAGCCAGGGCTATATCCCTGGCCCCCACCTACCCTCTTTTAAATTTTGAGGCAATGCCTCCATAAGTCACTTAAGTTGTCCAGCCTGGGCTTGAACTTGTGATCTTCCTGCTTTCGCTTCCAAGAGTGCTAGGATTGCAGGTGTGTCCCACTATACCCAGGTTGGTGCAGCTGCTTTGGAAAACAGTGTGTGGTAGCTCCTCAAAAGGTTAAATGTATGACCCAACCATTTCACTCCTAGGTACACACCTAGAAAATAAAAACATCATTCACAATGTCCAAAGAATTAACCCAAATGACGCTCAACTGATTCATGAATAAATAAAACGCGGCATAATAATTTTACTGGAATTTTTGACAGAAAAGAGGAGGAATGATGTCCTGATGCAACCACACAGATGATAACTGATAAGTTAGGTTAAGTCATAGAAGCCAGTCACAGATGATGACCAAAAGTGGAGTGGCTACATAAATACTAGACAAAGTAGACCTCAGTGAAAATTACTGGGAATAGAGGAGCATTACATAAAGATAAAAGGACCAATTCAGCAAGAAGACATAAGAACCCTAAATGTACATGCATTTGGCTAGAGAGCTTCAACATACAGAAGCAAAAACTAAAAGGATCAGTAGACACATCCACATTTTCTGCTAAAAATTTCAACACTACTTTCTTAGTAATTCATAGAACTGGTATACAGAAAACCAGCAAGGATACAGATGAAATTAACACCATCAACTACAGTAAGTGATTGAACTGGCACATGTGAAATGCTAAAGTCAGTAACAGCACAATATGGTAGTCTCCCTTTATCTGTGGCTTCACTTCCCACGGTTTCATTTACAAGCATCTATGATCCAAAAATATTAAATGGAAAACCTAGAAATAAACAATTCATAAGAGTTTAAAGTTACACACCATTATAAGCAGTGTGGTGAAATCTTGACCCATTCCTGCTCAGGACATGAATCAGCCCTTTGTCCAGCGTACTCATGCTAGAAAGCCACCCATCTGCTAGTGACTTAGTATCACTAAATTATCAGATTGAATATCATGGTATTGCAGTGCTATAGTTAAAATAATCCTTATTTAATTGTATGCATAGGTTGCTAAGATCTGCAATAAAAACAAATGTTCTCTCTGTGAAATTGAGATGGAGAAAGAAATTTGTACTTGCTTTTCTGTCATACCGAAACACAAAAGCTACAGCCATAGTGTGTGGTAAGTGCTTAGTTAAAATGGAATAGGGATCTTGAGGCGTGGGTCAGGGATGGAGTGCATGTTTTTGTGTATGTGCGGCCCTGGGTTCAATCCCTGTACCACCAAACAAACAAAAAACAAAAGCGTTAAATAAAGACTTGTTTTCCAATCCTGGTATGGGTTGCCTTTAGATGACCCCCCCCCCCCAAGCTCCTGTGTTGAAGGGTTGGTCCTTAATCCAGCAGTACTGAGGTGGGCCTCTGG